AAATGAACTTTTGAGGAGGGCCAGCCTGACCTCGACTTCTTCGCTGCATAGGATGCCATCTGCATCCACAAAAGCCGACCTCTTGAGATTAATGCAGCCGGCTTCCTATATGCCAGTTGCGCAAGGCGCTCACGCACCCATTGCACCAAAGGCTTATCAAGCTGGGCCATCCGAGTCTATAACTGTTGCCGCGGGCTATCAGATGCCATCGAGTGCCGGGCAACATATCATACCCACAACACAGCAACAGGGGCAAAGTCCACAACCAACGACAACTCCCCCGGCTAGGAAGTCTAAGCAACCCCCAGCCCCGAAAGTGTACAAGGTAAGACGCGCCGAGATAAGATGAGGATTATACATGCTGACAAGACACACATAGATTCCCGCCAAGGAGTCACCCGTTCCTTTGCCGCCAAACTTTTTGGCTGCCATGACGTCGAAAGGGACAAGCTCTCCGGGCTCTGAGGCGTCGGTCTCTTCGACTCCTACTGCTGACAAGGGAGAACGGTCGATAACAGTGGCGCCGCACAGGACTATCACGCCTGTACCTATTCCTAAATTTTCAGGGATGACGCCTCATCAAGCTGCAGCCAAAGCCCACCCGCCAACGCAAGCTGGAGGAAAGGCGTTGGAACTGTCAATCCAGGTCCAATCTGGCCCTTCTACTGCAACAACGCCTGTAGCCACGGGCGACGATACGCAGATACCGCAACGGGCGACGTTGACTCCAACCAAGGGGAGCGTCGACGAAACCGAACACGACTCTAGCGGCGAAGTTCAGGACTTTCCCGATGTCCCTGGACGAGAATCCATGGAGTTTATGGAGAGAATGATGGCGAACCTTCGCCGTGTGGTTGAAAACCCCGGTTCCAACTAATGATGTGATCGATTTTCATAAGTCAGGGCATCTCGCCCCTATATTATAGGTTCTTTACTTTCCGGCCTGGAGAATACTTATCCGCATTGTGGCCTGTCCCCCGGATGGGAGGGGATCAGAACTGCTATTAATATTACTGGCCTTGATGAGGGCTAATGGCGTTTGGACGGATGACATGCAGCATGTGGGCTCCACGGAGGAAGGCATGCATAATGGGTGTTTTGATCTTTGAGACGGTCGATGAGGAGTTGCGGAATGAGATTCACATTGTACGATGAAGAACTTCCTTTAACGGAAACGGTAGGCGCTTGGAGTTTGAACCAGAGGTTGACTGAATGGAACGTATGGGTATGGATTCACGTCTTGAATGCACACCGGCTCTTTGCCTTGTCATATCCATTCTGCCGTTGTGATACTGTCGGCTGTGTTCCAGCGTGGAGTCCGATCTCGGGGCTGGCTGGAGCAATACGGAGCTCCTCCGGTGACGCCATCGATAGGCCCCACGAAATGCTTAGTCATGCCGAACATCTATTGGCTGTACGTCGCTAGTGATGTCGCAATTCGGGCACCAGCGACGGACTATTTCCCTTGTTTGCCCTTTTTCGCTGGATATCCGCCAGAAGCCTTCGCTAGGCGCATGATTTCGCTGCCCATTGCCGAGCGTGAGTCTGCTCTGTATGTAGTATAGCAAGGGAAAGAAAAAAAGGAAGCAACTTAGCCCGCACGTTTTCTGCCCATTTCGTGTGCCCCTCACCCCTCCACCCAGCTGCTTAGGAGAGCCGGGGTCACTTCACAGCAAGCAATCGGCAAGTGAGTGATTAGTAGTAGCCTCCATGTCGTCTTTTCTTCTTCTGCGCTCTCGACTTCTCACCACTGCAACTCCAACCAAAGCCATAGTGCCATCGTTGACAAGGGGCTTTCGCCATTCCGCAATCAGCATGGGCCTGAGTGAAAAGCTGAAACCAGCAGCCAGGGTGTCTGGCCAACGGCAAGATGTCTGGTGAGACTTTATCATAACTTGACGAGACGGTCCGCGGGGTTCTGACTGGTGCGCATGCAAGGTCTATCATTAATGAAGCTGCGGCAGCCTCGCCCAAGCAGCCCATTGTGAATATGGGCCAGGGCTTCTTCGGCTACAACCCGCCCTCCTTCCTTCTTGACGCGGCCAAGGAAGCCCTGGATCGTGTTGACTGCAACCAGTACTGTCACACCAAGGGACGCCCTCGGCTCAAGAAGGCCATTGCCGATGCCTACTCTCCATTCTGGGGGCGCGAGATCAACCCCGAGACTGAGGTGACTGTCACGACGGGTGCTAATGAAGGTGAGATACTGGTCGTCGTTTCTGACGTGCATTTATTCCGTGCCTTGTAGTCTGAACGCCTTGTTAATGTACGTGGTTTGAATATTCTAGGTATGCTGAGTGCCTTCATGGCCTTTATCGAGGATGGAGACGAGGTCATTGTCTTTGAGCCTTTCTTCGACCAGTACATCTCCAACATCGAGATGCCAGGCGGCAAGGTGGTGTATGTGCCCATGCACCCCCCTGCAACTGGCGCTACCAAGACCTCCTCTGCTGCCGACTGGACTATCGACTTTGATGAGCTGGAGAAGGCCATCACGCCCAAGACTAAGATGATTGTCCTGAACACCCCACGTGGGTCTACTCCTTGCGAGCATTTGAAAGATTCCAGGCTGACGAGTAGACAGACAACCCCGTTGGAAAGGTCTATTCTAGGGAAGAGTTGCAAAAGATTGGAGACTTGTGCGTCAAGCACGAGATCATTATTCTCTCCGATGAGGTCTACGACCGTCTCTTCTATGTTCCATTTACGCGAATTGGATCATTGTCCCCTGAGATTGCCGACCTGACCCTCACCGTAGGATCTGCCGGCAAGAACTTTTACGCCACCGGCTGGCGAGTGGGTAAGTCGCGGAAAATAAGAGTGTGAAGACATGGGCAGTTCTAATTCGCATCATAGGTTGGTTGATTGGACCTGAGCACCTCATCAAGTACGTGTCAGCTGCTCACACCCGTATTTGCTTCGTCACTCCTTCCCCTCTACAAGAGGCCTGCGCAGTCGGCTTCGAGAAGGCTGAGGCGGCGGGCTTCTGGGACGAGACGATCCAGGAGATGAAGGGCAAGCTGGCTCGGCTCAATGCCGTCTGGGATGAGCTGGGCATGCCCTACTCAGAGCCAGAGGGAGGGTACTTTGTGCTCGTAAACATGGCCAAGGTCAAGCTGCCCGAGGACTATCCTTTCCCGCCGCATGTCATTAACCGACCGCGGGACTTCAAGCTCGCGTGGTTCCTGATCCAAGAGCTTGGCGTGGCCGCCATCCCCCCGACTGAGTTCTACACGGCTGAAAACGCACACCTCGCTGAGAATTATATCCGCTTTGCCGTTTGCAAGGAGGATAGCGTTTTGGAGGAGGCGAAGAACCGCCTGAGGGGACTAAAGAAGTACATTCAGGAGTAAGAAAAGTCAGTGATGGATAGACAACTAGGTAGCTATAGACAATATATGCCAGTGACACTGTCGTATTGAGTGAAAAGCAGAATAAGCATGAAGTATATGCTCTAGAATAAGTAAGTATCATGGGTTCAAAACCCTTCGCGGCCCACCCCGGAGAATCTTTAATTTTAATACCTGCCTCAAATGCTGGGGCGGAGCTAGCGCCGGCAAGCGGCGTCGGCCGCGATGCCTGATCTCGGACCCCTTTTGATATGGCTTGCATAACATGCCCGAGGAGTGATAGATGTTGTAATAGCTCTGAATAATCATGTTAGTGAGATGAATAGCCTTGCTGGTCTATCGGGCGTTATTTTGCCCTATTTTACTCAATAATGGCAGATCTTGATGTACTCTTACCGCGAATATCTGAGGCTTCCCTTGATATTACGATATTTAGGTGACTTTAGTAGGATGGATTCTACGAGACATGGCTGGTAATAACTTCAGAAGACACTCCAACGCAATCGCTTTGATCAATGGATTCGACGCCCCGACCCGAAGTCGTACATCCAAAAATAAATTAGTTCAAAGTAGAGGTCACCCTCACTGGTTAACAAGTCATGAAAAAGCATGAGGTTCTATTTACTAGGCCCGGCGACTTCCACACCGACCAAGCCTTTTTATCGGGGAGATAGCCAATTATTCAAGGTGGAAACCTATATTATTTATTTGCTTTTATTATTTGGCTTACTTGTAACAAATATGTAACAATGAAACAATTATACATTGGATTTGAGATTTATTGTTGCTTGAAAGAATCGCAGTCCATCATCGGGCATTATGGCCCCTGATTCTGGCTTCCAATCAGAACCATGGTGATCGTATCTCTGAACCACCTGCCCGATTTATCTGGCGATTCCCGGCGAGATTGTACATAGATAAGCGCTGCTCTGTACATGCGTACAAGATATCATCGCTCTAGGTGGAGGATGCCGATGGAGTGGGGTCGATGACGGAGCCGGCCGACGCGAGCAAAGCAGCCAATAGGCCGTTGTCTAATGATGATGCCTGTCGCTGTTATCTGGCTTATGTGGGGAGGGGCTAGATCGAGATGATTGATGCTCATTGGCGTGGAGATTCGCGGGGAAGCGATTAGGAAGGCAGTTGTACGCTGTACATAGGTGGCCATCTTCCGTCATGTGGATGGGCGAGTGTGAACAAATTGGAGGGAGTCCTGACACGGTGCCAATCTTGCCTCTGCCTTTGATTGACACCTCCTCCGTGGCTGCAGCTGGTTAGAACGAACCTCAGAACTAGAGCTCAAGCGGTGGATTGGCACCCTCCTGAGACCTGATTCGACAAAGGTCTTGCCTTACCTCGATGACCCTCGCCACATGATAAAGTGATAGCTTTGTCATCCCCAGCTCTGCACTTTCCTACATCCTACCTAGATATCGTGTCGAAGGGGATACCGAGACGGAAGGAGAGATAGAGAAGACAAACTTGATTTTTGTGTATCGTGTGTGACTATCTCCGACTTGTCTCACCTGCACTCACCGACTCCCCACGTCAACTACCAAGAGGTAGCACTTATCTGAATCGAGCTGGGAAATTTGAAGGAGTCTCTGACGTTGAACAACACGGGAAAAATTAAAGACAGCCCGCGCAAGGATGGCACCGAGTGCGACCGCGGACGAGGAGAGTCCGCATCCTGAGCTTCTGGCGTCCTTGACGGCCAAGTACGACGACTGTCTACGCTTCTTCCTCAACGGCACGCGCGTCACCCTAGATGACATTGACCCGGAAATCACCGTCCTGGAATGGCTTCGAGGGATCGGCCTCACGGGCACCAAACTGTACGTTTCGGACCCCTTGATGGTGTAGACTTACTGACATGATGGGCAACAGAGGATGCGGTGAGGGAGGTTGTGGTGCCTGTACCATTGTCGTCAGCCAGTATAATCCCACAACAAAAAAGATCTACCACGCAAGCATCAACGCTTGTCTGGCGCCCTTGGTCAGTCTCGATGGGAAGCATGTCATCACTGTCGAAGGCATTGGGAGCAGCAAACGCCCCCATGCCATACAGGAGCGTTTTGCAAAGGGGGACTGTTCGCAGTGCGGATTCTGCACTCCTGGATTCATCGCTAGTGCGTACGCTCTGCTGAGGAACAACGAAGCACCTACCGACGAGGACATTGAAGAGGCTTTCGACGGCAACCTATGTCGCTGCACCGGGTACTTTTCCATTGGAGAGACTGCGCGAACGTTTAGCGTCGACCGAGTTTGCGGAAAGGGTGCCGATTGCTGCAAAGTAAACGGCTCTGGTGGCGATCAGCCTGTCAAACGATTTACCCCTCCTGGATTTATCGAGTACAATCCCGAAACAGAACTGATATTCCCACCTGCTCTGAAGAAGCATCAGATGCGGCCCCTGGCTTTTGGTAATAAAAGGAAAATTTGGTATCGACCGGTAACACTGGATCAACTGCTTCTGATAAAGAAGGTCTACCCGCAGGCCAAGATTATCGGCGGAAGTACTGAAACTCACATCGAGACGAGATTCAAGGCCATCTCTTACCCAGTGTCGGTATATGTGGGCGACATTGCCGAGCTACGGCAGTACTCTTTCAACCAAAATTGTCTCGAGATAGGTGGGAATGTGGTGTTGACCGATCTAGAACGGATATGCGAGATGGCCATTGAAAAGTACGGACCACAGCGCTCACAGGTCTTCAAAGCAATGCTGAAGCAGCTGAAGCTATTCGCTGGTCGGCAGATCCGGAACGTTGGCTCGCCCGCGGGAAACCTGAACACCGCTTCGCCCATCTCTGACCTCAACCCTGTGCTCTGGGCGGCCAACAGTATCATCGTTGCCAAGTCAGCAACCCAGGAGACGGAGATACCCATGTCGCGGTTTTTCACTGGATACCGGAAGACGGCATTGCCGCAAGACTCGATCATCGCTTCCATAAGGATTCCAATCACGGCTGAAAGGGGCGAGTACATCCGGGCATATAAGCAGTCAAAACGAAAGGACGATGACATCGCCATTGTGACCGGCGCCTTGCAGGTGAAGCTGAGCGACGAGGGTATCGTCCTTGCTAGTAACTTTATCTACGGCGGAATGGCCGCGACGACCGTGGCCGCCAAAAAGGCAATGGAGTATATTGTCGGCAAGCGATTTTCCGAGTTGGAAACTCTGGAGGGGACAATGAACGCGCTGGGACATGACTTTGACCTGACTTTCAATGTGCCTGGAGGCATGGCATCGTACCGAAAGGCATTGGCGTTTGGGTTCTTTTACAGATTCTACCATGACGTCCTCGAGAGCATTGCCGGTCTGAGCGACCATTTGGACGGACAAGCTATCAAGGAAGTGGAGAGAGAGATCTCAACCGGCCAGGTCGACTCAACGGCCGCAAACGCATATAAACTGGAAGTTACCGGGCAATCGAAAACCCACCTCGCGGCGTTGAAACAGACCACCGGCGAAGCGCAGTATACGGACGATGTCCCGGCTCTGAAGAATGAACTTCACGCCTGTTACGTTTTGTCCTCGAGAGCGCACGCCAAGATCCTGTCAATCGACTACACTGATGCTCTAGACATGCCCGGTGTGGTTGATTACGTCGACAAAGATGACATGCCTTCCAAGGAGGCTAATAAATTCGGTGCACCCAGCTTTGACGAGCTCTTCTTTGCCGACGGGGTGGTTAATACTACCGGACAGCCCATAGCCTTGATCTTGGCTACGACGGCTAACCGCGCGCGGGAAGCGGCGAGGGCTGTCAAGGTAGAATACGAAGACCTACCGGCGATTCTCACCATGGAGGAGGCCATTGAGCAGGAGAGTTTCCACAACTTTTACCGGGAGATCAAAAATGGCGACACAGAACAGGGATTCAAGGACTGCGACCACATCTTCACTGGATCAGTCCGGATGGGGGGACAGGAGCATTTTTACTTTGAGACTCACGCATCCCTTGTCGTACCAAAACCGGAGGATGGTGAGATGGAGATCTTTGCAAGCACCCAGAACGCCAACGAGACGCAGGTGTTTGCGGCACGTGTGTGCGATGTGCACGCGAACAAGATCAACGTTCGCGTGAAGAGACTTGGCGGTGGGTTTGGAGGAAAGGAGACAAGATCGATTTTGCTCTCGTCTGCTTTAGCCTTGGCAGGAAAGAAGACTGGGAGGCCTGTCCGGTACATGCTCACTCGAGAGGAAGACATGATGCTAATGGGACAACGCCACCCATTCCTTGCCAAGTACAAGGTTGGAGTGAACAAGGATGGCAAGATCCAAGCCCTCGAATGCAACATCTACAACAATGCTGGGCACACTATTGACCTGTCTCATGCTGTGTGCGAGCGAGCAATGACACACTCAGACGGCTGCTACAAGATTCCCAACATCTTGCTTCGGGGGCGCCTCTGCAAGACAAATACCATGTCCAACACGGCATTCCGAGGATTCGGTGGTCCTCAAGGAATGTTCATTGCTGAGACGTGGATGGAGGAGGTGGCTGATCGACTGGGGATGCCGGTCGAGAGGCTACGTGAAATCAATTTTTACAAAGATGACGAAAGCACTCACTTTAACCAGAAGCTTACTGACTGGTTCGTCCCCTTGATGTACCAGCAAGTCCAGGATGAGTCTCGGTACAATCAGAGGAGAGAGGCTATTGCCAAGTTTAACGAATCCAACAAGTGGCGCCAGCGAGGACTTGCCCTGATCCCCACCAAGTTTGGAATTTCCTTTACTGCCCTGTTCTTGAACCAAGCCGGCGCATTGGTCCATGTTTATCACGATGGCTCGATTTTGGGTAAGTTCCACGGTTGAATTTCCTGAACACAGCTAACAAATCACAGTTGCCCACGGAGGAACCGAGATGGGACAAGGACTGCATACAAAGATGGTACAGATTGCTGCTCAAGCATTGAAAGTACCGATCGAAACTGTGCACATCTCAGAGACAGCGACCAACACAGTAGCAAACGCATCCTCCACCGCCGCCTCGGCCTCCTCGGACCTGAACGGGTATGCCATCTACAATGCCTGCAAGCAACTAAACGAGAGACTGGCACCGTACAGGGAGAAGCTGGGTCCAGATGCCACAATGAAGGAGCTTGCCCACGCCGCCTATTTTGACAGAGTAAACCTCAGTGCCCAGGGCTTCTATAAAACGCCTGAGATTGGATACAACTGGGATAAGAATGAAGGAAAGATGTTCTTCTACTTTACCCAGGGTGTTGCCGCGGCCGAGGTCGAAATAGACCTCTTGACTGGAACGTGGACGTGCCTCCGCGCAGATATCAAGATGGATGTCGGCCAGTCCATCAACCCTACAATCGATTACGGCCAAATCCAAGGCGCGTTTGTCCAAGGCATGGGACTCTTCACCATGGAAGAGTCGCTCTGGCTGCGGAACGGTCCCATGGCCGGCAATCTGTTCACGCGTGGCCCAGGGGCGTACAAGATCCCCGGATACCGTGACATACCCCAGGTTTTCAACGTATCACTGCTCAAAGATGTCGAGTGGAAGGAGTTGAGGACTATTCAACGTAGCAGGGGGATTGGTGAGCCACCTCTGTTCATGGGTAGTGCCGTGTTCTTTGCGATACGTGATGCTCTTCGTGCTGCACGCAGCGCAAATGGAATCACTGCCAAGGTTGGAGATTCGGAGGATGCTGGCGGTTTGTTGAGGCTGGAGAGTCCTGCTACGACGGAACGCATCAGGCTGGCGTGTGAGGATGAGATCATGAAGCGAGCTAGGGTGGTGCCGAAAGATGGGGAGAAGAGTTTCTTTGTTTCGATCTAGCCCGTAGAAAGCCCATAAGACAATCAATGAGTTGATATGGCTCCAGTCTGGCTACTGTGATTACTTTGATGCTTCAATGTGTGCTAATTCTCTGATGCAGACTGGTAACCAGGTGACATTCTGTTCAAGACACTCAAACATTACACTGCTTATTTTCTAGTCTGTGACCTTTATTGTCAGATTATTGAGGGCTAATAATAAATACCTACCTTAAGCTTAAGGTTGTCAATTTTATCGGTTTAGACTAGGGTGGTATCGGTGACATTCTGTTCAAGACACTCAAACATTACACTGCTTATTTCCCAGTCTGTGACCGTTATTGTCAGATTATTGAGGGCTAATAATAAACATCTAAGCTTAAGGTTGTCAATTTATATCGGTCTAGACTGGGGTGGTATCGGTGATCGTATGTGGCCCGAAAATGGTTCCTTACAACTGTTTGGGTTAACCCGGCCTTTTCCCCCTCTTAACTCACATACTACCATATTTTCTAGCCATCGAAGAAATTAGTCTGCTACTAACCAATCTCCAACCTGGTTCTCATTTCTTCTGTCGCCCAATTGACTGGAAACAGTGGACGAGGACAGAAAACGGCTTGGAGATGACTCGCGTGTGGGCCGCCAGAAATACGGACTCGGGATATGCTGATTGGCTGGCCGGAGCGCGCCGCACGGCCAATGGCACATCAAGCAAGACGTCCTTTGACGCACTTTTTCAGTCCCTTCCTACCCACGCGACCAAAGGACGCCTTCGACGCTCGAGGAGGACGGCGATTGAGACGAAGCAACACGGCTGAGCTGATCCGAGGTGGAATGCCAGACCATTGAGACTGGTATCTCACCAACGGCCTCGACGATTCTCCAGACCGTGCCCCAGAGTCACAAGACACAGAGATTGATCGATCAGGAGATTGCTCATCATGTCGAGATGCCTGCTTAGGCAATTGACGGGCTCGGCCAATGGCTTGTGGGCCAAGTCAGTGCCTCGACCGAAAGCGAGTAGCTCGGCGTGGCTGCGCACCGTCAGCGGGTTGGAGCAGAGCTTCACCACCACCAACAGTCACAGTCTCGGCGCTCAGTTCTCAGTTTCCAAGAACCGCCACTTGGTCAGCAACCTGGCCAGAAACAGAGAGCGGCATGCAGGGCGAATCAATGAAGGCCCTCGGAGGTACGTTTTCGCGATCCAGACCTTATTTTGCCTAGTCTATCACCCGCTTATCCACTTGGCTGCCGGACATCTACGGCGGGGCAAGAGCTCTTGGGAGCTTCCTTCCCTCCTCCACCGTTTGACCCCGCCAGCCACTTACTCACCATCGTCTATAAATATCCCAGCCGTCACAACCAGGCACTGTCTGGGTTTGCTCTGGATATCGTGTCCAGAAAATCTCTGAGCCATCGTTAACATCCCTCAGAGTCCTCCAACAGATCTCCCAACGATATTGCTCCGCGCACGCGAGAGCACGCAACCCCGAAAAAATGACTGACCGCGAGGTGCTCCCGGATAACGTGAGGCCAACTCACTATAGCCTCTCACTCCGGGACCTCGAGTTCAAAAACTGGACTTACCAGGGAACTGTCGGGTGAGTTGAAACCAGTGGTCACGTCACATGGCATGGATTTTAACCCGGGTTATATAGAATCAATGTCGAAATCACCAAGCCAACCAAGGAAATCGTTCTCAACACGCTCGAGCTCAAGCTTCACAACGCCAAGGTGAAGGTTGAACATACCAAATCTGAGCAGACAATCGAAACCACAAACTTCTCGTACAATGAAAAGGCCCAGCGAGCAACCATTGTCTTTGACCAGGAGCTTCCTGTGTCAAAGAAGGCTTCTCTGACTATCACCTTCGAGGGTACCATCAACAATGAACTTGCTGGGTTCTACCGAAGCAAATATAAACCCACCGAAACTCCCGCTAAGTCGGTGCCTCATGACGATGAGTGGCACTATATGTTCAGCACCCAATTTGAGTCTTCTGATGCTAGGCGGGCCTTCCCCTGTTTCGACGAACCCAGCCTCAAGGCAACCTTTGACTTTGAGGTTGAGGTTCCAGTTGACCAGGTTGCTCTGAGCAACATGCCCGTTAAGGAAACTAAGCCTACTAAAGAGGGGTGGCAACTGGTGACTTTCGAAACGTCCCCCCTGATGAGCTCCTACCTTCTCGCCTGGGCCATTGGTGACTTCGAGTACATCGAAACTTTCACTGAGCGCAAGTACAACGGAAAGCAACTCCCGGTTCGTGTCTATACCACGCGGGGTCTGAAGGAACAGGGCCGGTGGGCTTTGGAACACGCGGCCCCGTGCATTGACTACTTCTCGAAGATTTTTGATATCGACTACCCTCTTCCCAAGGCTGATTTGCTTGCTGTGCACGAATTTACCCATGGCGCTATGGAAAACTGGGGCCTAGTGACGTATCGCACTACCCAGGTTCTTTTTGACGAGAAAACGTCGGACCCACGTTTCAAAAACTCCATCGCATACGTCGTTGCCCACGAACTCGCCCATCAATGGTTCGGCAACCTCGTTACAATGTCCTGGTGGGATGAATTATGGCTCAATGAGGGATTTGCGACATGGGCTGGTTGGGCAGAAGTCTCGAAGATGCACCCGGAGTGGGAGGTTTGGGCTCAATTCGTGAACGAAGGCATGGAGACGGCGTTCCGCCTCGATGGCATCCGGGCCAGCCACCCAATCCACGTGGAAGTGCGCGACGCCCTGGACGTCAATCAGATCTTTGACTCTATTAGTTATTTGAAGGGTTGCTCAGTGATTCGGATGCTTGTAAACCACCTTGGGTTTGATACTTTCGTCAAGGGTGTTTCCAAGTACCTCAAGGCTCACGCATATGGCAACGCCACAACCAAGGATCTTTGGGACGCACTGAGCGAAGTTTCTGGACAGGATATCAATAAAATCATGGCACCTTGGATCGCCAAGATTGGCCATCCTGTGCTGGACGTTGGTGAGGAACCTGGTCAGATCACCATCAACCAGTCCCGCTTCCTTTCAACCGGTGACGTCAAGCCCGAGGAGGACACTACAACCTGGTGGGTTCCTCTTGGCCTTGAGGGTAAAAAGGATGAATCTGGTGTCGCTGCGTTGAGTCTCGAGAAAAAGGAGGAGACCATCACCGGCATCAACGATGACTTCTACAAGCTCAACAGTGGTGCCACTGGCTTCTTCCGTGTCAATTACCCAGCTTCCCGACTTGCTAAGCTCAGCACTCAGCTTGACAGGCTCAGTACTGAGGATAAGATTGCCATCATTGGATCGACTGCCGACCTCGCCTTTGCCGGCAACGGCAACACTGCTGCTCTCTTGACATTCCTCCAGGGTTTCAGTAATGAGTCTCACTCGCTCGTGTGGAGCCAGGTCCTCGACTCTGTTGGTTCAGTGAAGTCAGTCTTTGGAGAGGACGAAGACCTAAAGAAGGGCTTGAGCAACTTTGTTGTCAAGCTCATTGACGCCAAGGTCAAGGAGATCGGATGGGAGGCCCGCGAAGGCGAAGACTACCTTGTTGGGATTTTGCGAAAGTCTCTGATTTCCTCTGCCGTTGCTAGCGGCCATCCCGAGTAAGTTTTCTTCTTCATTGATAACGTTGTCATACTAACCACCTATCCCAACAGAGTTACCGCAGAGGCTCTTAAGCGCTTCGACGCCTGGGTTGAGAATCCCGAGGCTAACCCCATCCCTCCCTCGCTCCGCACCTCGGTCTGGCGCGCTGGTCTCGACAAGGATCCCGCCCGCACAGTTCCCATCCTGAAGAAGGAGTGGCTTGAGACCAAGTCCATCGACGGCAAGCTTCTCTGCCTTTCCGTCCTTGGACTTACCAAGGACGCCGGGCTTCTGAAGTCGTCTGTCATTCCCTTCAACTACAACACCTCGCCCCCGTCCGACTCGGTGCCCAGCGCGGACATGCACGCCCTCGCGGCTTCTCTTTCACGAAACTCGTCCGCGCGCGACCTGCACTGGGATTTCATCAAGAACCACTGGGATGCCATTGTCAGCAAGATCGGCAACCCCATTGTCGTCGACCGCCTGGTCAAGGTCAGCTTGAACCGCTTCACCGACGAGTCGTTTGTCGACGACATTGCCAAGTTCTTTGCCGACAAGGATACCACTGCCTTCAACCGCTCCCTGGGGACGGTCCAGGACAACATCCGCGGCCGTGCCGCTTACAAGAAGCGCGATTCTGCTGCGCTCAAGGAGTGGCTCAGCGCTAATAACTACATTTGACTACAACGCGGATGGAGGTTATAGGTTCTAGAGAGGGACACCGACTAACGGAACATGTATATCCGATTGGGGATATATAATGTCAAAATATAATTAATATATGTGAAATGATGCAGTGGGCCGTTACATCTTACAGTGATGTCTGCCTTTTTCGTGATATCAACACATGCCTTTCAGAAACAATGACACAACACAATAATAATCTATTATTTGGTTATTTGAGTGACAATATTCAAATGACAGTGGCAAATTGGCTATACCTCAGCGTTCTAGCCGAGGGTTGGCGATCTACTTGGGGATCAACATCAGCTTTGCTCCAGCTGAGGCTCCCAATTTAACAATTGGACTGTGTGATCCTTTGGACTCTCACCGCCGCCGCCTTGCAGCATTATTATTACCAAGCGCGCGCCAAGTTGGCTTATCGTCCTTTGTGGTGGCGCAGCAAAAGGGGCAAGATTGAAAAGGAAAACTCGAAAGACATAAGCTTCGATTGCCAGCTTACGCCTAGACACTAAGAAAAACAAGCGCGGAAAGGTTTGATGAACCAGCAATTTAGTGACCGAAGATCCGGAGGCGTCAATCTCATGTAGTCTAATCACATCGTCGCACAGGCCCAAACGGTGTTATTTTTCGGTGAGCATCGTGCCGGAAAGCGCACCCCCCCATGTCCCATGTCTCGGAAGAACCGCCACAAGCTGGAGTCGCATTTTCTCGGCGGATCGAGCAGTCCGCTTCCCAAGCAGCCAAGAGGTTGGCCCTCATCGTTTCACCACCGCAGCAGTGAACGTGCATGATCTGCCTCGTCGGAAGATTCCAAGTGGATGGATGCCGAGGCAGGTCAATGCGCATTTGCTTCCTAGAGCGCGCGGCAAACGTTGCTTTTTTCCAGCTACTGAGTATTTCTACTTGCCAGGCGTTTTCCGTTGTCATCTACCATTTCCGCCGTCGCTGTGTGGTGGCCCCCTCAGACAGAGTAATCGCTCATGATATATCACCCTGCGTCTTATTATACCGACACTCCGCAGGCCCGGAGGCTGTGTTGGTGCCGGCGAGCTTGGCGTTTTGTAGTAAAGTTTTTGTCGGAAATCTCGGGATACCGGTAGGTTATTACCCGCCCACCTAAGCGAAGGGAGGAAGATCCAGGTTAGCCTTTTGCCGCCTCCACATCCTCAAGCCTCGTTTGACTCCTGATGCAGCAAGCTCTGACCATCTCATCCGTCTCGTGGGAGCCCTCTGCGGCTCAGCAGGTTATCAGATTCGCCTGAGCATGTGACGGTTTCAAGAGGGCCGTCGGAAGAGCATCTTGCGCCCCAGTTGACTTGACGAGACTCTTCATTATGAAACAAGTTGACAAGCAACCATCCGTGGATAAGCATCGGCTGCCCATACCCCAGTAGTACTAGCGAGACTAGCACCTGAGTGACACTCAGCAGGGACAGTAGTGCTTGCCAGCAGTACATCGGACGGGTGTTGTTCAGGCCTAGCTGAAGCTAATTGCTCTACCCTCGCACTAACTGACTGACATTCCCTTGGGCTTCATTGCACCCATGCTCGGGGCTTTGGCCGCGCGTGGCCCCAAATTGTCAAGATCGCCATCGACCTCCGCGGTATCCGTCCTGGGGTAGAGACTGGGCAACAGTCCCAGGTTGGGCTCTAGCGTTTCTGGAACATCGATGCTTTGCCACTGTGCTTAGAGAGAACCTTTCCCGTCGACGACGTCTTTCGCATGGCTGAGGCGGATTGCTGACGTGCCACTTACTCAAGCATTCAAGACACCCTTCATGCGATGACTTCGGCTCATCCCCGCCCCTCCTTTGGAATGGAGCCCACACATGTGGCTGATCGTAGGAGCGCTTGGCCTCTTCTTGCTACTGGCTAGACATGACGGGGTACTTCGTTGGCCAGGACCGGTGATCATCTTCCAAAGCGCTGTCCAGGCGGTGGGTTGGCTCCATTAGGAGACCCTTGTGACCCCTCCACTGGAAGGGTGTAAGTTGGCCGCGTTTTCCCTCGCTTTCGACCACCTTCAGCTTCCTTTGAAGGAAGCGGCCAGGGTAGCCAATCCTTTTCCACTCTGAGGGGACGGGCTGGCGAACTGGGAGGAGAGCCCGGGGGCATGGAAATGTAGGACTGCATGTCCAGAATCCGATGGTGACCAACGCTAGGTGACCGCGACTCTGGAATACTACACGGCATCTGGCAAGCAGGCTTTGGCATCATATTCTTAGACCGCTCTCCCCAAGTCGCCAAGACCACTGCGAATCGGAACGACTCCTGCATTCGCTCGGAGGCAGCGTGCCATTTCACCGCTAGACGGGGCACTTCCCAATTCGATCTTTGATACATTTCGTGCGTGATGTGATGTGATGTGATGTGACGGGAGGGATACCTTACATAGCATTGGATGCAAAACAGAGTCGCTGCAGGAGTTGCAGGCACCGGGCCTGTGACGACGGAAGGCGAGGGCTGGCATACCGAGTGAGGACTTCGAGTATGCACTGGGCCGTCTGAGATACGGCCCACCAGCCGTTCGCCTTTGATGGAGTTCCTTTGGGGCGCGGAATGGCCTGAACAGTTGAGTGAGCGCAGGCTTCGTGTCGATCTTCCCGGTACTCACTCGGCACCGGGCGCTCCTTCCTCCAGGCCAGGCAGGCCAGGCCAGCGCTCTGACTCGAGACGTAGCCAGTGGAGAGGAACCTGGTGTCAGGCTGCTCTTTCCTTAAAGCTGTTTGCGACCAGGGTCCAGGTTGTTTGGAAGGAGCCACGGAGTGTCGGGGCATGTTGTCATCTGCGGTACTCAGCCAGCCAAGCTGGGGTGGGCAGCTACCTGCGAGTACCTGCGAAGGTTTGGGTTGAGGGGGACAGGGGCTACGATCCTACTTCTCAAGCGCTCGGTCGGCAAACTCGATCCCCTCCAAGCCGACAGTTTTGCTTACGTACAGGGTTGCCCGTCATCCTCTAGCCCTATATTCGCAACAACTGACCCGAGCCGTGCGGGACGAATGAGGTGGAGGGAGATCCGATTCTCTCAAGAATCCCCATGGCTGAACTGATCCCTCGGTGATTACCTATTACTGGGTACGCATGTGTTGGGGGCGAAGCGGACTGCGACCTATGATGTGCGAGGTTTGTCGCTCACGTCAGCATCCACACCTTCGTGCGCCGAAACCTGATATGTGCCGACGCCTAGGTACGGTACCTCCTATCAGTTGAAGAGCTCGATTTCGCTTAGATCGCTACGCTCCGAGCCAGAAGTGACAGTATTCCGCAGCCCGGCCGCCAGGAAGTTGATGAGCGCTGGTGGTGGTCCAGCGCCGGATCAACCTCCTCGCACCCAATCTGTCGGTGTGCTTCCCTCTTATTTGCGAGTCATTAGTGCTCCTTCAACTCGAGAGGATTGGGGAGGCTTTACAGTGTCGTGCCTCAATTCACCCTGTTGAGACCAAGCGCAACGGCAGCATCCGAATGCAAGAAGTAACCCGAATAGGGAAGGAAACCCTCGATGTGGATGGATGATGATCGCTATTTTATTTCCATCACCACGCCAGTCGTGAGCGCACAGGCCAAGTTTCCTCCTCTCGCCCGCTATTTTTAAACAGTTCGGTTTGACTGCTGCCACGTAGGCAGTTTGCCTGTATCTCATCTGGGCGGCAGGCACGCAGCAAGCGCATGGCGCAACCATCGTGGACAGGCATGGTGACACGGACTGTCCCGAACCAGCAAGTTGATCTGCTCCAACGGGCAAACCGCCGGCAACCGCGATAGTCTAATTATGCTGTGATTCATGCCGCCTCGTCTGGAGAGCGCTCCGCAGGACCTGATCCAGGTCCTGGTCCCTCCACCCAGACTGCTGGAGGTTGTATTTTCTCGCCGTCGCCGCCGGGCTGGGAAGGTGACAGGGGTGGGGGATTGAAACAAGCTCCGAGTTTCTGGAAGCCATGGCGCAATTATGCGCCCTTTCCTGCCACGCCGGCTTTCAACCAAGGATAAGGGTGCATTCGCTCAAGCCAGTCTGCGGCTAGTCCCACCTCAGCCGCAGAAACAAGCGTCCTAGAGTACCGTCCTGCTTCCAACACGCGACGAGGCGGCCGGGGAGACGCTATACTACGTACACGGGCGGCCCTGTCGGACTTGGGGCTAGCCGGGCGGTCATGCCCACGCGCGAGCAGCCAGGGGGGCAGGGTCAGGATGAGCTTGGCTTTGCTCTAGTGTAAGCCTACATGCCCTCCCACCTTAGGCAGGTTTCAGCATGTGCGCGTGGGTTTCTTTTTGTTCCTCCGCGAGGAGGCAGGTGGGGAGTAGTTACCACCCAAGCAAGGAGCAGGTTGTTTGGCATACGTACATCTTGGCCGACCTCATCATCTGTGCCACGAGGCACATGAGCTGTGACCCGCTCTGACGGGTTGATGCGTAGAAGCGCCATGGAAGACGTCGAAACGGGCGCTTGGTATTTCTTCAGTTTGCTCTGTCTTGCTTTGGTGTCACATTCACCGGCAGCAGGTTTCCGCTTCGCGTAGCTCTGAAACTCCAGACAAGACTTTTGCTAATGAAAATAGCACCATGTGACCAACCCCTAGACATCCGGAATATGGGTTTGCTCCTTGGTCAAGGTCAAGACGAAGTAGATGTGATTCTGTCGCATTTGAGCTGCGCACACCGGTTCGCTTTGGGCGCTCTACATATGGAGCCGGTAGCTTGCTGTGCGACGCATCGAGCGGCTATCAGACTAGTCAGCCGCGCGACGACCCAAACAGTGTTCCGTACCGCACCTAGCAGGGCACCGGCATCGTAATGTGGAGGGAGAGTTCTCTACTACGACGCTAGGCAAGCAACGGGGAAATTGTCTCAGTTGAACCCACGACGGATGCTATCACTGATCCGATGAGGCGGTGCATTCGCAGCTTCCAGGTACTTGCAGCATTTGATCTGACGTACCTACAATTGTGGTACCGCACTAAAGGGGGCGGAAAGGGGCACAGTTTCGGTGTCATCCCATCGCTAGCAGCTCTTAGTTTTTCTCCCTTCCGTTCAGACATGGCATGCCATGCGAGGATTTTGTCGATATGATGAACCAACAGCAAAGTGTCTGAGTAGCCGCTGACCTAGCTTGCAGTACCAAGTCTGGCTAGGAAGGTGATTATAATACAGCTTACTAGTATAGTAGTATGACGCAGCTTCCTGAGCGTTCACCTAGCCGCGAGCAGAGGAATTGAGCAGCAGCTCGAGCCAGGCGACTGATCGAACCACCAATCGGGAATATCCAAGTGTGGTTGACCATCAGTCGTGCCATGCCGCCGCGTGCGTCTTAAGATCAGTATCAACCATGTGCAGGGGACCCAAAGGCCGCTAATTCGGATGACCACCGAGACGGACAAAGCCCGGCGCACACAAACCGCACCATTCTATCACCTCCACCATCACCATTGCTTGGGGGAGGAGATATCCCAGTTTAGTCGGTTCACTCAACTTCCGCTCCCCGAACGTCTGTTGCGCGGAATTCCAATTTTTGTGAGGATCCACCATGTATACCGTATAAGATACTGTCATCGCCAATCAAGCCCTTACACCTTCGGCTCCCGGCCGAGTCTCCACTGCCATGGCTCTGATCCCTGGCGGAACCACACATGGGGGCAGCCACCTGGCCCTCCTGCTTCTGAAGCCAAGTCGTCACCCAGGAGGAGTGCGCCGGCAGCGGCAACAGGCTGTGCACGGACGGGTGGAGGGTGCCAATAACTTACTTAATACCGCCCTGATATAGGCCTCCGAGCCTAGTTGACATCCACCCAGCACTCCCCCCTCGCGGCAACTTGCAGGCTTCCCGTCGCTTCTGAGCCCTTGGGCGTCAGAGTGCGCCAGCTGCTCGGACTGCCATCCCGATTCAGTTCAGCTGAGTCGACTGGCTGCATCAAGGGGGCATATCCATGGCCTTCGGGAGAGAAATGAACGTCCATGTCGACCTTCCGGCCCTTGATTGATTATCATCTCCCACGAACCAACAGGGCAGGTAGTCGAGTGCACAGTCTGGCTTTTCAAGGCACGAGCCCATCGCCATATTCACACAGAATCATAGCGTCTCGCTCATCCCGAAGGTCGTCCCTGTAATATCAAGTAATTGGAAGCTGGGCGCGAGAGGCAGCCACCAACACACTCACTGTAGCGGCGAGGCCAGCATTATTGGAGATGCCTGCAGCCCTAGATCATTCATTTAAGCACACAAGGGGCTTCTGGCCTGCTGGACGGAACGAACTCGCAGGTCGGCCACCACAGGAAGGGCCGCCCTCCTATCCCATCCTAGGCGATCGCCGGTGGGGTTTGTTCTTGCGAAACATGTGAGCGGTTGAGATTGATTTGACCCCCACTGGATGACGAAAACAAGTCGTTTCTAGCGACCCTGTGCTGGGGGAAAGGCGGGGACACTATGGGCGAAGGGTTGTGTTGTCGAGGAGGCACTAACTCGCTCTCTGAGGTGCGGAGTATGATTAGCTACCTTGCCCAGTCAGTCACCTTGCCGGTCCATGCACTGCCGAGGGTACATACATCCCTACATAGTGTGTACATATGGACTTGTTCGCGTGTGCCCCATATTACAGACTTGACGACGTTGAGAGAGCAGAGCAAGCCCTCTCGACCCGGACCTTGCCTATCCAACTCATCCTTGGGATGGAGCTGCCAGCTCTGGGTTTGCTTCGGCCAACACCACGCAAATCCTGCCGAGTAGTTAGGATAGAGCAACAAGAAGGAGAGGACTATGCTGGCTCTTAAAAGGACCCTCCTCGGTCAGACTCCACAGAAGCAAGCACGCCCTGGCTTGCGATAACATAGCAGAGACATGCTACTATGGCCACTATCCTATACCACTACACACGTACCTACTCGATAGAGGATTACGTCGCAAGTCTACCCGGCTAATAAGAGTGGTAGGGATCCGCCCCTAGTGTCCATTTCAACAGGAGCGAGCCTCCACTCGAAACACGTTAGCGGCTCACTGTAGCACTTGTCTGATCTCGACGGCCCTGGTCGCTGTTTGGACAATTCGTGCAGGGTTGTATGCCCCATGCCATGCTCTATTCCCCCTTCTGCAGCCAGTTAAGATATTATTTCCGATTCTGCTTTAAGGCGCGGAGACCCCCGGATCACGGGAAACCGAGCGCCACTAACACGGTCCCGTTTCCTGTCCTCGGCGTAAGTGAGTGGTGGTGTTTGTCGATGACCAAGTCTCACATCACATCTCCCTGTAACGTACTTCCCGGACGCGCATAACCCAGGATTCACTCTCGCAGCGCCATTCCCGCCCCAGCTTCTTGACCCGGCCAAGCAGGGTAAAACGTTTCGCTTTTGGAAAGATCCTTGCCCCTGTGAGTGACTGAGTGAAGGAGTGGGTGAAGCCGTGGTTCAAGGTCGCATCTGTGTGGGAGGTCGCAGCCTCGATCGCATGCTCAGTGTTATACATCTCTTCTTCGGCTCGTCCCCCGAGACTTTCAGCAACCTTGAAACCTTCCGGCTAGATCGCCACCATTACAGCAGAAGTTATGCTTCCTTGCAGTCGTCGCAGTGCTCCGAGTGTCACTCTGTTTTAACGTACCCCGCGCCAGGCCCAGTCCGCTTCTTTACCAGGCTCAGCTCGGCTCTGCGCATAGGTCAAAAGCAGGACAAAGTAGACAAGCAAGTCTTGACCCGCCGCCGTGAGCAGTGTTCAGGTCGCACAAACCTGCAGCGCAACAACAGACGACGGATATCGACCGGAGTGCTCCTTGCCCCGTCTGTAAGCCCCGCGGAGGTCTCGGCGCTAGTTTTCCACTTGTTTCGCCTGCCGAGTCTGACAGCGACGGGAGGCGAGACGACACCTCACCCAGCGTTGGAGTGTTGGCCCGGTTGGGTGGAATGGGGGAAAGGGGAAACGGTAGCTTCTATCCAAACACCCAGGCTCTCTCCCCGAGGCTCGGGTCCAGACTAGCTTCTGTATAGAACCTTCTACTTGACAGCCCAGCGCAGCTTATACGAGAGCCTTGGAGACTTGTTTGCGAGCGCAGTCCTTGTCGGAAACCTCTGCGCCATGGCCGCCTCGTCACACAACCTCTTTTCTCGATCTCCCAACCTCTCTACCCGATCTTACGACTCTTCCTCAGTGTCGTCTGCTACGTCACCGAAGCCACCATCGCAATACCTCGGGGGAATCATGAACACGAGCTCGAGGCCTGGTGGCATTCTGCCCCCAGGTTCCATGGGCGTGCCTCCTCTACCACCCGTTACGGCGAGTCCTGGCTACCCTCCTTACACGCCCATGGGGGCCTTCGGGCGCGAGTCGGTACATTCTACAGATTCGGTAACAAGCACCCCGGGGTCTTCTCACTCGCACATGACTGCGCCTCCAGGGAGCTCGCAAAAGCGAGCATACCGCCAGCGGAGGAAGGATCCGAGTTGTGATGCCTGCCGTGAGCGCAAGGTAAAATGTGACGCGACGGAAACCACGAGTTGCTCCGAGTGCTCGAGCCGCAATGTCAAGTGCCAGTTTACTAAGGAGACGAACCGTCGCATGTCTTCCATAAAGCAAGTTCAAGATTTGGAAAAGCAGATGAATCAAGTCAGGCAGGAGAACAGCCACCTCCGTCGCAGACTCGAGGGGAGGGAGGGGTCAATAGACGTGGAAATGGAATCAGTAGAGGAAACTCCCCTTCAGCTACCGCCACCAGGCTCCGAGCCGAGACGAAGGGAACGATCGACGCCGATGCCAGACTTGGCCCGAGCCAGAGCGAATATCCACAGCCTCTCCAAGGGGGTCTTCAAGGCCCCTACGCCATACCGTCTCGCCATTCTGTCCACGTTTGACCCTCCTCGACCCGATTTGCCGCCTCGTCAAAGTGCAGAACTGCTCCTCGCAGCATATTATCGATCAGCCCACACCATGTTTCCGATTCTCCACTGGCCTTCATTCCAAAACGAAGTTGATGATATATACAATGGTCAAACCTCAAAAGTTCCCCCTAGTAGTCTTTCTCTGTTCTTCTCAGTTCTGGCAACGGGTAGTTTGTTCAACGAGGAACCTCCCACAGGGCAATCCTTTTACCGCCCTGCAGAGCTCCTCGAGACCGCCAAAAGTCTCTTGGATCCATGGAATAACGATTTTGACTTTGACACTTGTCGGAGTTTGCTTCTCATTACCATTTGCCTGAACGAGATGAACCTCAAGTCGGCTGCATGGAATCTGTTGGGCAACACGGTTCGAGTCGCTCAAGACCTGGGCCTTTATTTCGATGCAGGGCCTTGGCCAATTATCGAAGGAGAGATGCGACGACGGACCTGGTGGGCCATATATATCCTTGACCGAACATTGGCTTCCGAGCTGGGGCGTCCCAAGCTCATTGATGACGATGACAACGACGCGCCGCTCCCGGCTGGTGTCGACGATCAGTACATCCGTCCGGACGGCACACTCGTACCAAATGGAGTCCAGCCCCTAACGCATTCTCTGCTCGCAGTTATCCATGTTGTGAGATCATATGCGCCTCTGATGAAGGCTCTCAGGGCACCTGTGCTGTCTCAGCAACGGCTTGCAGTTTTCGAAGCCCACTTCAAGCACTGCCTTGAATCCTCGTTCCCAGCCCAATGCTACCCTTCGAGCAACCTCCCAATTGCCCCTCATTTCCTGGCACCGTTAGCCTACCTCTTCCACGCTCGTCTTGTTCTGCACAGGCATAATCTAGCCCCGAGATGTTCGCCATCTACACGATTAGCTGCTCTGGAGGGCTGTACGCTGGTTTCTCTCGACACAGCGGCGCTGGTCCACCGGACAAGCGGCTCATTGGCCGAGGGGGCAACAGCTCTACTAGCAACCCACATCTTTCGATCTACCTTATTTTTACTTCTAACAGGCTATTTTGACCAGGCAGCTACTTGTATTAGAGCTCTAGCTTCGATCAGCACCCGTAGAGACGTGGCGATTCCGTGCGGCCGATACCTCTTCTTCTTCGTCACCAGCCTACTAGGACCCAAGAGGTCGGAACACCTCGATTATATCCAACAGACGAGACCCCCAGCCTCGATTCGAACACCGCACGATCATCAGTCGGCCTTCCTACAATCGCTGGTGGGGGACGAGGAGTTGATTGCCTACGCCTCATCTGACCTCCAGTCATCTCCCGAACACAATTGGTTGTGGGCAGGTTTAGAGCGAGAAACAGACCTCACCCAGACGACTTCTATCTCGTCGGCATCTACGTCGTCAGCGAACAACGCTCTGTACAACTCAGAGGCGCGGACCGGCTTGACGAGTCAGGAGAGTAGGTCGTGGGGAGGCTGGGCCCAGCTTGAATCTGCCACGCGCGCCCTCGCACCTGGTGCCGCACCCGGACCTGCACTCTCTTCCACCCCAACCCCGCCTGGCTCGGGTGGTACCTGGACAACACTTCCACCACCACAGATCAAGACCGAGTCGTCAGCCTCCAACGTCGAACTCCCCCGCTTATCCGACGCGCCACGGTACATGGCAGACCCACCGAGGGTGGTCAGGGAGGGCAGCAGCACTGGCAGCCCCCCGGGAAGCGACTCAGCGAAGAGGGGCGTGGATCGTCTGAGCATTGCAAACATCATATAGGTCTCAACGCGAGGTCAGAAAGGAGGGGCGTCTATACGGGGATGGGGAAGGAGGACTGGAGTCACTACGGCGAAACGAAAAGGTCACAACCTGAAATGTCCGAAAAGATATGGCGTCTACTACATACAAAATAATCTGCTCACAGCAAAAAGTTTGTTTCCAGTGAGAACACCATCAACGAGCTCACCGGGCCACTTGCAGTGCAGGCAGGACTCGGCTTCGGATGGCTTGCATAATTAGCTAGGAGTTTACGGTGAATAGGGGGCGAGATAACTGGCTGGACGGTGGTCCAGGTCTATTTTGGATTTTACGATGACTGCAATGATATCAATTTTTTTTCAAATGTGGTTTGATTCTTTTTGTTCTGTTTTAATTTTGCCTTGCATACAAGAAGAGTAATAGCCTAACCGGAAGATATTCTTGTGATTACCTACACTCGCACCGAAAAAGATAATCTTGAGCTCGAGCATCAGGTCGCCTTGCAATATAGCGAAGGATATAGTCAAGCATGTAAGATTAACGTAGAAGAACCCCGTTACGACTCTTCTTAATCATCTTTCTAGGTTTGTTTGAGGCCGCGATTGGAAGGGGAGTTTTGCGAGTTTCCCTTGCAAGAGATCTCTCATTTGTCCTGCGTCCTCCATAGCGCCAGCCAACTCGATGGCTCGCAATGCCCAACACTGACATAGATCCTCTTCTCCGCGGGTGAAGAAATCAATGGCGTGGTTGAAGGTCGTGGCAACGAGCCATTCAAGATCTGTTGGAGGTAGAGAGGAGCCAACCTGTGACTATCAGTGAGGTCTGCCATTGCGACATCACCCGTTGGGATATGAAAACACTTACTTGGCTACCTTCCCTGGCAATATGTAAAGTCTCATCTAGCAACTGAAGCGCCAATGTGTCGTCAAGAGGTAGGATGACCTGGAAGATGCACCGCAAGTACTTGCCCAGCCTCTGTGTATCGAAATCCTCCAAGACAAAAATGCCATTGACAATCAATCTCATTGTCGAGAACATGACTTCAAGGTTACGTTGGTTAGACTATGCTTGGGTCCTGACACATGTTTCATCACAAACACGTACCTTTGCTTGGGGTCTCGCTTCTGAGGAGGCAATCCCCCATGGCTTTGAGTGTTGTCTCATCTTTGCAGGTTTCGGCTTTCCTCACGATATTCCCCAGGTCATCCCAACTCTTCAATGCTACCGCTCCCTCAAAGTCAAAGACTAGCAGGATCGACAGCTTTCGGTACAGATCCAAAACGGTTTGCTCGTCTCGCCCAACTGTCTCTTTGCATAGCTCAAGGTCGAATTCTGCCACATGGCGCCTGACCTCGAGATAGTTTTGCAGTCTTTCATCTAGCCGATCTTCCGTGCGTGCTAGAGAAATTTTGGCTGCTCCCATGACGAAATGGCAACGCATGGACATGACATATAACTCTTCATAGTCTCCCCCGGGCATGTCGTCGGGGTAAGAGCTGATAAAATCTAGACACGAGGAGAAAACGCCAATGATTTTCGGCATGTCCCACGAGGAACACTTTTTGACACCAATGTTGAAACTATTCTTCCGAAACCAGTGAAGTTCAAGTGTAGAAAAGGCCTTCTTTCCGTCCGCACTCAGGGAGCCCGCCTTTGCATGCGTCGCCCCTGTTCGCATCAGAAAAGATCATTTCGGCTGTTCGTTGGCTGTTGACGTACCGATCACGAAGATCTTGCAGATGTCATCAGAAAATAGGCTTGAAGACTCGTCGGCTCCCCCCTCTGCTTCAATTAACTTTATAAGCCTGACGCAGCACCGCAGAATTGAAGGGAGGCTTGTAACTGACGCCTGCACGGAGGACCAGTTCTCAGCAACCGCCTGCAGAGCGGTCAGTGTACACAGCTTGTCGTGGACCTGTTGAGATTCCCGAATACAAGCGTAAAGCATTTCCTGAACATTTGCCTCAGTTGCACAGCGGCTTAGGTATTCGATGGATTTCAATGCTACATCATGGTTGAAGTCAAGTAAAGAAACCTTAAACATGAGGAATCTGGTCAGGCAATCATCCTGACACTCTGTTGCCATTGACCCAAAAGTTTCGTGTGCATTTTCAGGCTTGTTCATCGAAATCGCACAAAGAATTCGTTTTCGTCCAAATTTAGCTTGGTTCGAAGGGCCAGAGTTTGAAAATATCGGATGAAGAGCAACCAGGCACCATTTATCAGCCGACTGGTACTGGTGGCAGCTCATTGTAGCCTCGATCTTTTTCCACAGTAGCTTGCGACATTTAGGAATTGTTGTTACAGTTAAGATGGCTAGTATTTAAACTTACTGACTGTGCTGCTCCTGTAGCATCGGGGCTGAGAGGTTCTGGAATCAACTTGTGTACCTTGTCGAGAGTCTCGAGCAACCCTGTGTCCCACGAATCTCCCAAGGGGGCCGGTTCTATTGTGCTCACCCATATGCGGGTCACAAGTGCCTTATCCAGCCACGTCGAGTTGTTGGACTGAAGAACGCGATGTGTTAATAGATTATCAAGAACGCCACAGGCTAATTTGGGGTTCATGTCGCGGAGCTTTTTGATATGATATAAGAGAAACTGGAATTCCTCGTCTGAAAAATCAAATACGCGAATCATACGCCGTAAGATCCCCGCGTAGTTGTCCATATCCATCAATTCTGGCGGAGACTGCTGGAGCATTTCCAATTTCCAGTGTAAAACAATGGGCTTGTCTCCAATCTCTGATTCGATAAATGAGACGAGTTCTTTTGCTTCAGAGAAATGCTCCTGTGAACCAGATTTCAGAAAACTGAGCACAAGATTCTGGCAGACGCAAAGGCGAGTATCAAGTCCTTCTACCGAAAGATGGTCTAATGGACGGGAATTTAACGCATCGTATGCTCTCTTGAGCCATTTTATCGCCATGAGTAAGTCCCCCTTTGCGTGCAAGTCGGCACCTATGTGTCGTAGCGTATCGGCCATCATTTCGAGCGATGCGATTTCCATGATATTTGTGAGTTGCGCCGCCTTGCTGAACATGTGCTCTGCCACATCAAGGCGGTTTTCCTTCCATGACTTGAAAGATCCGATTAGCCAACAACGAGAACTGAGGAGATGTGAGGTAACGTCTTACCAGAGCTATCCTCACCACAAAATAATCCGCTTCAAGTCCAATCCTGTTTTTGTTTGGATTGCCTTCCTCCGCCAGGCTGTGTAATCGCTCGATATAGTTGGCAGCTTTTTGCATTATGATCCTTGCGGAGTCCAAATCCTCGTCATCCAGGCACAACCTCCCGAGCGTGAGAACCAAGGCGGTCATGTACACAATCTCAGACTCCCTGTCTCTCCTTCCGCGGTTGGCACCACGCCCCATCTCGAGGAGATGGAACGAGAAGACCCGCGCCCGGAGAAGGAGGGGGGAAGACCCGCTGCTCTGAGCATTATCCCTCCTCAATCGGATGCATAGGTTCCACAAGTCTTTGCCGTTTCTCTCCAATTCTTTCGCTATGCGCGGCGAGATCCCCGGTGGTGGTGACGTCTGGCAGAACTCAGTGACGATGCTGATCTGATGATTGATTTCGGACTGGAGGTTGATACTGGAGATGGATGTTTGTGGATGTCCGAGCTTGGAGTGGACGTCTCTCGCGAAATCTACAAAACTTCAGCGTTAACAATACGCAACGGCTTTTGCGAGTTCCGGGGAGGGCGATACCGATGACAGGCTGGAGTTTCTTGTCACGCTTTTCACGCCCAGTGGCCTGGTCAAATCTACCCATGGCCTTTATAGCGTTTGAGGGTGCTTGCAGGAGAAGCCAAGCTCTCGAGTTGCAACGACTGGTTGTAGAATTGGCTGTGTAGTGGGCGAGCGAGAAGCCAGGGCTTGGATGCGAGAGATGAGTCTCTGCTGGAGGATGAGCAACACCGTTAGCATGTAGAAGCCCTGCCGCGGCCGAATGCTTGGAAAGGATGTTCCTTCCGCCAGTACAAGCACCAGGCTGGGCAGGCGCGGATCGGATCTGACCCAGGCCGCACTTTCCCCACGTTCGTTTATCTCAAACATCACGCATAATAAGAGTCTGCACATATGGAGAGGAATTCAATGTCAAAAACGAGCACAAACAGTACTTTCTATAAGCGCCTGACCCGGATGGAGAGGTGCATAGACAATGTAAAGGATCTGTTCTATATACATAGGCTTCATGTCCGACAACGTCTCCATGAGCATGTAGAACAATTGGGGGAAACGTATAAGTACCTGATGCTTGCAAGGTTTTTGTAAAGAGAGAAAGACCCAGACAAAAACCAAGAGCTTCGAACTGTGACCGGAACTCTGTCGAGACGGTGAAAATGCCCTGATCAACCTTGAACGCCTTTCAAACTATAAACGCCTTGTTTATCTGCATGCAGATGAATATTCTTTTTTGGGGGTCCGCGACGATACTGCGTCTTTTTCGTAGACGCTTGACTCCAGCCACAATAGATCGGGATAAGGGAATTACTTCGCTTTGGGTATGCAATCCTTGGTTGGGCGCCAGAGAAGGAAACAAACAAACAAAACCGAAATTGAATACTGTCAATTCGAAGGGGGATCATGGGGTAAAAAGTTGCCAACGATCAGAGCAGGCCTGAATTCGAGTCAATTACACGTCCGGGAACGTCAAAACAACAGCGTGAGCTTCACCCAGACTATTAGACTTACAATTTATGGTCATCTTTTCGAATCGTAAACGAGAAGCAGCACTTTATAACTGGGTGATCGGATGTATCACTTGGGTGTTTTAATGAACACGCTGTCAGGAGGGTATCATGTGCAGGATCGAAAGCGATGGTTCCAAACTCCTCCCAGTACCGCACCATGGATTCTTCTGTCAGAATTTCATGCAGTGCAATGTTGCCCTGTCGTAGGTTAGCGAATGTGGCCAAAGGTTGATCCATCCGTTTATCATCAGCACAGACAGCCCACTGGTCTGGTGGAAACTTTCTCGGAGCTGCATGAAGGGACACTCACATCTCGTAGTTGATTGACGGGAACATGGATAAGTTCAGCCATTTCCTTGTTCCCGCGGAAGATCTCGCCAGTTCTCCGCCAGCAGCACGCGGGCACTGCCATACTGGCAAAGACGCGGTCGTAGTCCATCAGCTGCCTCTCGAACCACATCTCGACATAGACAAGCTGGATGTCCGTCAAGCCTTGCGCCTTCTCTCTGAATTTAGGACGGAATTGATTGATGGTTCTCAGAATCTTTTGCTTGGAAGAGGCTGCAATGTGGCCGTCAAGATACTTGCCAAGCCGCGCATACCCGTTGATGTAGTTGAACGGCTTGAGGAGGCCTGCATCGTACTTGGCCTTGAGCACACGAAGCATGCGCTCCTCCGGGTTGTCGCTCCCGGATGGATCCGCAGCCTGGAGGTAGTATTCGCGGGTCTTGTCCTTGTCGATCTGCATAGCGTTGCCGGGATGTGGACCAGAGCTGCCATCTAGGTTCGGGGGTGGCATCATGGCCCCAGGAGGCACGTTCGCAGCCTGGCCTGCGCCTCCAGCCAAGCCGCCAGCTCCAAAGCCAGAAAGCATTTCTTGTTTCATGGCTCGCACAAAAGCTTGGTTCTGCGAGGTATCATCCGGCGCCACGCCGGTGTCGTCGAGAAGACTAGTATGCAGGAAGTCGTTTAATAGATTGAACTCGTGCGAGACCTCGGGCGCAATCATGTAGTTGGGGTTGTAGTTGTTCATGTCCTGGAAGTTTTGCGCTGTCATCCAGGCGTCTGAGAATCCTGCGACTGTAATGGCTGTGTCAACTCAGTACTCTCCTGAGAAAGAGATCGTGATTCATGTAACGTGCGGTACGAGGGAAGGGGGAGGGGAAGCGGGAGAGGTGGAAGAGCAGCCAGCCGCATGAGGAGAGGGGGCCCTGAAACCAGGGCTGAAGAGACGTACATTGGTTCGCATTTCCAGTGGCGCCCGTTCCCAGCGAATTACCTTGCAGCCCTGCTGCTGCAGCTGCTGCGGCGGCTTGTTGCACAAGCGGCAGCGTGCTCCTCTGGCCGAGCAGTCCAGCGCCAAAACCCGACGAAGCTCGTGGCCGGCCGGTACCATCGAAGACAGGTGGCGGGCCCATGGTGCTCGAAACAGAGCTACGACCGACGTCAGACCGGGCGTCCTGCGAGTCCTCAATGGTTGAAGCAGCAACGGATGGTGCGCCCTGGGTGGCGCTCTTTGTTTTCTTGGAGTCGGCATCTCGAGGCTCGTCGTGGCAAAGATGGCCGATATTACGTTTTATACATCTCGTACACGGTCTCTCCTATTCGTCATGTCAGTCTACAGCCAGGATCGGTGCAGAGGCCCCCTTGCAGAGCAGACGGGAGGCCATTAGGAGCCCAGCTGCGGTTTGCGACACGCAAGCGCGCGGGCCGCAATGCAGGGACTAAGGGATGGAAAGATCAGGGTCCTACGTACGAGATCGCATGTCATATGCTGGCAGGAGATGAAAAGAGTCAGTCAGCATGAGGAAGAAGAGCGCATCATATTATCGGTCGGGCAGCGGGCAGAGAGGCAGGTGGTGCTGCAGCACGACACACTCCTCCGTACCCAAGCCATTACACACCGGGGTTTCACCTACAGATCTGCGACAGTACACACAAGCTGCACGACAGGCGGATCAGACCGGCGACATTAGCCAACAGAACGAACACATGGCTCGGGAAGAATGGCGCAGCTTTGGACAGACGCCCTGGGGTGGGTGTTTTGGAGCGGAGGGGGAGGGGGGTTTAATGTGGGAAGAAGCAAGGAAAGCTCAGAGACACGCATGGCGCCCATGATGCCTAACCGAATTGACGGGCGGTAAAGCAGCAGATGTGATATATAGAAAGCAACATACCGTGATTGACCTTGCGCCTTTTCTTGGGGCTCTTGTGCTGGTTGTTGCCGGCGGCCATGATGTCGTCCTTGTCCTTGGCCGTCCTGGCGCCCTCGTCCTTCATATTCGCCTTGCCCTCAGTCATAGCGGCGGCCTTCCGATCAGCCATTGCGGCGCGATGATCCCATTGGGCCCCCCCGAGGTTACGCAGAGGCGGGTAGCAGCCAAATATCGCGGGCGATTCGGCGGGTCGTTGCAGCTGGGCCTGGTCGGAGAAGCAAAAGGGACCCTCGTGACCACGCAAGGAAGGTCGGCTTTTTTTTCGCAATTGCCGTCTTGTTTACCGCGGGGCTCGAGTCGCAAGCTTGTTTTAGGTGCGAGAGCAACAGGCGACGGTGGTAATCAAGACCAGGTTACGGAAGCACGGCGGCTCGAGGCTCGGTGGGCAGGTCAGGTGAGCGGATGGTCGATTGCACGTACACGGACGAGCAGCACGGAGCGAGAGGCAGGATAAGGCGATGCATAGTCCAGGATAATCGATAGCATGAGAAGTCGTCCCATTGCCTTCCCCAAGACGTACGAGGGCGAAGTGGATCTGCGGGGCTGCGAAGCCGAGAAATGGAAAACCTTATGTCCAACCGAAACGGCTGGTTCCGGCCGGCTACGACAACAGCACGAGACAACATGAATGCGCTCAAGACGCTACGAGAGTTGTCTGTTATATACTTGTCTGTTATATACTTGACTCGTCCTCTGTACCTGCCTTGGTACCATTGCAGCCGTCCTGCTGCGCGAGCTGGTCCCCTGACCTCCCTCTCCAACCACGCCTTGGAGCTCCAGCCAACCAATACTACCCCAGCAATTGCAAATCCGTCGCCAGACATGAGGCATGAATCACGATGCATAGCTGGCTGCCAAGTTGCGTTCTAGAAGCTGCCTGACATCACAGAGGTCACTGGGCGACATCTGGGGAAACCTGGAGTATGTCCTTGGCATCACACGAGCTGACAGGGTCCGACGATATACCTGGGTTAATGCTTGCCCGAATCTGCGAAAACGCCTGCGAGCAACGATGGTTGTATCCGAGAGCTCTTGACTCGCGGGCTGTGCTCAATGGGCGCCTAATCTATCCACCAGAAACAGCCAGGCTACTCTCGGCCCAACGAAGTAGTTAATTGCGCAATTGTCATCCTTGGATTGGGGGCCGGAAGCAACTTGGCAACACACGATGCTCTGCCTCGGCATGGTCCCAATCCAACTCGCACCCAAACCCAGAGCCAACCACCAAACGCCGGGTCCTCACGGATTCTCGACAACACCTCACTCTCGAGACAATCCCTCCCTCAACCTGGTCATTTCCATCTGCCCAGTTCTGAAGCCCTTTCGTCCGCAAACCCTGCCACGTGACTGTCGTGTTTTTTTGTTCTCAACTTGGCGCCCGGCCTACGACGTTTCAAGCTGCACTAGTAAGCAAGGATCCATTCACACTACGTAAGTAGGCCAACGCACACGCGCTGGAAGCAATTCCAAAGGGCTGCTGGTTCAGCTCTGGATACAAATTGGAATGTTCTCTTTACGAGTACGACTCTCTGGTCAATTCCCATCCCGCTTGGTCTGGCTGAGGAAATTGCCATGTTCTCATCTGATGGCTGGCCTGACACACCTGCCAGGGGTTTCCAAACGGACTAAGGAAGCTACCGTCGATCATGATCAGATTTGTGGGCAGATTTTCGAGTTGATGTCGTAAGCAGCTAGTGGCCTCGAAATGACGAGCTTCCTTAGTCGACGACAAGCGTTGGCACCTCAACACCATCCACCAGCCAACCTTCCAAATAGGGTAGGCCATTCGAGATGGCCATCACGACAATGGCTCTCTTGTTGGCAAAGCAACAACTTCTCTTCATAACGTGATAGCATATTTCTGGGAACAGGATAAATCTACAGAACATCCCCAAGGGTATTGCCAACCGCTAGAACTACACACGCAACGTGTTGAGGTTGTCCGAAATCCATCTCGCACTATCGTCTCTAAAGTCGTCTTTCAAGATACTGTTCTGGCTGCTCATCTCGAACCACAGTAAAGAGGTCTGAAGGAGACCCGACGCGTGAAAGGTGCTCATAATGGGAGTGGTAAGTTGGGATTCACTGCCTGCGCGCATTAAATGAAGACGCGCCGGGCCAATGTGAAGACCATGTCGCCCAGAATAGCGGTCAGGCGCTTGAGCCCGGGATACCAATCGTTGGAGATGCCGTGCGAAAGGGGCTGCTTCCCAAGATTGCAACATTATTTTTGTCGACCAACGAGGTCAACTGATCGACGGTAGCCCCGGAGAAGAAGACATCACTCAGGTAGCCAGCCATTTCGTCCGTGCTGGATAGGTTGCATTGGAATAACGCGGAAATCGTCCCTTCTCTTCCTGATCTCCAATAATCATGGGCACCGGTCGTAACCACTCTCGCTAACCAGGACATCTGGACTCTTGGGCAGAATTTGGCCATCAGGCCTAAGGAGATAAGAAAGGGCAGCCGAATTGAACGAGAAGACACCAGGGACTGAATTGACCGCTTTGAGAAAGGCATCATGGTCTACTTTCCGGAGACAGTCGACTGTGTTAACAGAGCCACCATAACTACTTTACTACCCGGTCATATATGGCCTGTCCTTTAGGGTCGCTCATAGGCTCTGACGGGACTATGCTACCAGAGTTCATTATAGCCTCTCGAAATAATGGCTTGCCATGAGAGTTGATACCACCACCTACGAGACCATCTGATCAAGCACGGAAATCGAACCCGCGGACTCGCCCCAGATGGTGACTTTGTCCGGATCGCCGCCAAAGGCTGCAATATGGACTGCAACCCATTATAGCCCCATTCGCTAACCCAGCAGCCCAAGGTTGGCACTACCATCGGCAAGAATCTCAGCTCCAGGCATGGAGCCAAATCCGCCCACTGGATAATTTACAGCCACAAAGATACAGGGCTGATCTTGGTCTTTCAGAGAGGAGATCAGTGGCGTCATACATGCCAGTTGACCCAAGCTCAAACCCTCCCAAATATCTGGAAGAACACAGGCAGTTTGTCTCCTTCTTTGGTGCCAGCGGGCCTTTGGACAGGCACCGTTAGGCAGTCCTCCTAGCCGTTTATTTGTTTCAATAGAGGGAGGGCCACCATCCGGAAGACTCACACTCATCGTGGCACGTATTCCAGCTTCGAGAGACGCATTTCGAGCCGGAGCAGCAGCAATGCTGACAGCGAAGGGAGGAGTGGCCCAAAGCGCGGACAGCAACCTCATAGCAGATCTTTTCTCAACAAAAATACCATCAACAGGGACAAGAAGTACGGATGCAGATTGTTTGAAAATGAAGCCTTGGGATATTAGATCAGATATAGCTGGCCCGGGGCAGAACGCTAGAGCGACATTCTGAAGGGCTCACTCCCCCCAGGTGACGATGTTTTTTTGTTGAGCGGCGGACATCATCGCCTGAGCAAAACATCGGTCCCTGTGCCTGAGATTGTATCAATACCTCGGCTTTAGACCTTTCTTCCCCAGGCAGAAGAACGTCCTGGTTGTATTCCCTGGTGATGCGAATGAGCACGTGCTCACAGAATGGCTTCCAGTACAAGGTTTCACTGGGACATGGGACGAATGAAACAGCATGGCATGCCGAGGTGGTATTGATCCAGCTCCTTGGTTTGTGGGGTTGCAGCATAAAGAGTCTGATGAAGAGATCGAACCCTTCCATGCGTATTAGTTACGTAGGTACGATGTGAATGTGCATCTGGCAGGGATCCCTACCCCTGTAACCTAGCAGCTGATGTGCATGCCCCATCACAAGATCTCCTTTCCCCATATTGGGGAAATTCCCCATCCCTGCTTTATCCGATTTCCAGTAACAAAGCCATACTAAGTAGCTTCCCCATCTGCATTCAATATTCAAAATTAGTAGGATGATTATTGAGGATCATCACTCATAGTGAAGACTGATCCAATGTGAGTAGACCATGTTATAAATTGCATATTCTTCTTCTGGGATTCGCTGAGAAGGGCTGCGACTACCTATCCCGTTGGACATACAAGGCTTACTTGACAGCCATCAACGTCAATGATTGGGTCTCTTCGCTATCGTGAGACTGTGTGGCGGGAGGCCGGCTGAAACCACGGGTCCAGCGATAATTCCTCGCCAAAATTCACATGGCCGGCATTGTGTTGTCCGTTGATGATCCTCCAAGACCACAACTACAACCGGGCTCGTATCTAACCGGAGACACTCATCGGATAGGACATCCAGAAACAAGACAAGTGCGGCACGCAGGATCAACGTAGACCACTAAAAGACAACATGGCCGAGTGGTTTAAGGCGTTGTAGCCAAGGAATTCCTTTGTTACGCCAAGTAACTTTGCAATGGAGCAATCCTCTTAGGTGAATCCCAATGTTGTCACTCTTTTTTTGCCCTCCTAGACACCGCTCACCATCAGTAATCTAGAACCATCGGCTACCCGTCTATAGTGAACTCAGACTAACCCTGGTAACTTATCTCTCCTAACCTACTGTCCATACACGCGAGAATTTGGGCGTGTATGTTAGATACGTACTGAGTTAGTCAGAGGCCCTTTGCCCTTTGCGGTAACCCCTGGCGTTGAAACAATATACAGACATAGCCAAAGATAGTTCGATGAAATGTATGATGGAATCCATTCCTAAAATTACAAGGAGATTTCTTAAATTGCCAAATTGACAGAAAGGACAAACAACTACAGAATGTGCTACAGGGTGGGACAATTTGGAGATCCTGATCAAGAATAAAAAAAAAGCTCTGTAAATGAATTCTATGTCTAACTATAATGCTGCTATGGATATCTTCTCATCATGATCATGTCTGGAATGCAGAAAGACACCCGAAGTCTAATCATCAAAATGGCCAGTATCAGCAGTCCCTTGCGCCTCGTTCGCCTTTGCTATGCCTAATTCATTAACGCCAAAACCCAATGATGCCTTTGATGGCATGACCTGTCTACGGTGATGCAAGTTTAGAGTAACTCCACGGAGGTCAAGTGACCAACTGAACAAAAATAACGCGTATCATGCAGTTGAATACTGATCGACGAGATTCTGCTACATGGGCCTGTAGTTTTGGCGATCGAAAGAAGGTGGGAATGTGTGTTCCTAACATCGCGACTCGGCAGCGCCATCTAGCGAGGATAGGCAGGACGATGCAAGTGATCGATGAAACCCTATCGATAGATAGCGTCCATTGATCATCCTTGATTGCATCCCTATACTTGGGAGGCGACAATCGTCCGATTGCTGGGTTCAATGAACGGACGAGGCCGGCAAACCCAGATGGTTATAACCAAAGACCACGGGCTAGCGTAAATTTGAGCAATCGTAGCGCCGTGATCCAGAAGCCGGGATGTCACACCACAACTCCTATAGGAGATCCCTCACTAAGGCATCTCTTCTTTGCGCTAAGAGCTGGCTCATCTGCTTCGGACTCACTCGTTTCCCCTTCATAGTTTACATTGATGGCGTCGTTGAGTGATTCATGCTTTCGTTTGACGGCTGGTGTGGGTTCAACGGACGCGGCGGGTTCCGTAGGTTCGGGATCGACCTCCCAGGTCTCAACCTTGTCTGGAGAAAAATATCCGACCACATCCTGACCCAAAGCTTTTCCAAATCGCTCCCGCAAGCCAAGAATTGGCCATATTGGGACTCTGGAATAACTGATATCCATTTGGGGCAGTTCTGACTCATCAGACCCCGCAGGAACCCTGAACGGGTTATGGAATCTATCCAAAAACTGAGCTGTCACGACAGCAGTATAAATGATGAATTCAGCTGTCTCAATATCATGAGTGAGTATCCGAAGCTTGAGATCCCGGAAGCTTGGACGGGTCGAGATTTCCTTTGGCGGTCGCCAGGGAGAGAATCTTCTCCCATGCGTCGCGGGCAGTCCGTAAAAGTGACGCTGGGCCATGGCCAAGAATATGCCGACAAGATGAGGGTCCTGATCAAGGTTGGCAGGCATGAGCATCTTTGATCTCAGCTGTTGGAGTCTTTGAACAGGCCCGTTGGGGACATTCTGGGGACCCGGGACGATTCGAAACAAGTTCTTCCGAATAGTCGCGATGTGATTTTTACCAATGTAGCACATCATTGGGAGATCTGTTGGGTTGTGCGGGTTTGAACTGGAAGGGGAAATGATACCAAACGACTCCGCCGGTACTGTGGATATCGATTCAAAAGAGTTTTGTGATGTTCCAGGCAACTCCGAAGGGAAATTCCACATGACTTGGGCACGAACCGAATCGCGATATATGCGGCCCCCGACGTACAGGTGCAATTCGGGCATCAGCTTCGACTCCTTGAACGACCCTGGCCAGAGCGTATGCATGATGGTTCGGATCGCGTTGGAACTCAGCACAGGATGTTGTGTACCAGGCAAGAGGATATCGGTGAGCGCGTTGCTGAGAGTCCTGATCTTTTGTGATGGTCGCATATGACCCTTTGATGGGGGTGAACCGGGGACATCTTCTGGCAAACGCGAGTCACAAACTGGGAGCTCCGCGAAGCGCACCCCTAGGACATTGAGGTGTATACCGGTCCAGAAGATGGGGCGTACGAAGAGTGAGGTGCCCGCATGCTCATGCATCAAGTCGTAGAGTGAGTTCCTGGAAGGTTGAATGATGCGTCGACAGCGTCTCTTCCGCAGAGGTCTTGTGCATGGTAGAGGCTGCGATTCGTGAACCTGAGACGAGGCGCGACGCCTGAGCGTCGCATCGGGGGGGTCCATGTCAACCAGAAACGAATGAAATTTGAGTTGACTGCTTCGGTTCGAGATTCTGAGGGGAAAGGTCAGTGTTGAGATCAAGAGTTGAGTGAGTTTGACAGGAGAAGCGGCTAATAAGAGTCAGAGCAAGGGCGTAGCGAGAGGTGGGAGGAGATCGCCCACCCTACCCCGTGTTTTATACCCCTCTGCAGTGACGCGCTCAGGCACGCCGCATCTAACACGACAAGGGAGCCTAAACCTTCGACAATGGAGGCCGAAACCAGGCACGGAAGGGCGGAAAGTCAAACAAGCGATCAAACACTTACATTCAAGACACGTCACAATTCAGGGCTTTGTTTCTGTGAACAGACCTGCATTGTGTGTGAGCCTCACACAATAGGGCGGTAAGGTGCAGATATAGATGCAGCGCTTAATTGCCAAGCTGTCGCGACTGACGAGCGTCATCACGTGCATCGGGACAGGCAGCTGTGATCCTATGAAAAACAGGTATTGGAGCCCTTATGTGGGTCAGATCCCGATGCGTGTTGACTGAACAGTCAGACGGTCCGTGTGTGGCGGTGAATATTCCCGATGTGGCCGTACAGAGTGGCGGCTGCCTGCAGGCTGAAGCCTCGCCGCACCCGTGTTGGTGCCTTAGATTTGGTGTGGCGGTCCTAAGGCACCAACTCCCAATTGGTGTAGGTGCCCCACATGATTGACGACAGCTTCCAGCCAGAGCGTCAGCGCCCCGCGGACTGCAACTGTGGTCGTGCGCCGTTCATCACCTTCGTTGTAGTCGCCGTACCAGACGACAAGGTTGCCCAAGATGCCCGTAAGTCAACACCAATTCATTGCAAACGCTCCATCGAAGCTGTTATTTGACGCCTTCCTCCCTTTCCCCAATCCAGTTTGGGGAACTATCCAGGCGGTCACAGCGTAACGAGCAGAGCAACCTCAAACTGACACTCATCCCTTAGGCCTATAACTCGATCTTCAACGACGACCCCAACACACCCCGTCTCATCGGGAACTTTCCCCTTCTTCCCTTGCGAACAAAGACTCGCGGACCGGCATATACTCTCCCCCCCACCGACCTCCCCGCCTATGAGTCTCCTGATCCCGACAGCGAGAGCTATGACATCTTAGACGAAATCCTGTCCCTTTTCCGTGCCAATACCTTCTTCCGCAACTTCGAGATCCAGGGGCCTGCGGATCGTCTGCTTGTCTATGGAATTTGGTACGTCAGTGACTGCCTGACCAAGATCAAGCCGGCGTCATCCGCCACCCAAGCTCAAAAGGATGTCATGAACCTGGCGCTGGACCTCAACTTCGCCATTCCCGGAGACCCAGCATGGCCTCTCAACCAGGTTTGTTCTCAACGTCCCCCCAAATCAAATTGCGCATTGATCTGACACAACCCTTCGCAGATGTACGAGCCGCCTCGAGACCGCCAAGATGCTGAGCAATTGAAACAGTACTTGTCGCAGGTACGACAAGAGCTAGCTACTCGGTTACTGGCAAGGGTATACGAGGAGGACCAGGCCAAGCCGAGCAAGTGGTGGCTGAGCTTCACAAAGAGAAAGTTCATGGGCAAGAGTCTGTAACTGAAACGAAGCAAGCTTCAAGACACCCTCGGATAAAGCAATACGAAACCAGAAAAGTCCACAATCATACTATTGTCTGAGGCTGATCGCATTCCCTGTTTTGTTGGTTGAAGAGGGCATCGTGTAGATATTTAGAAGATTCCTCAGTCATGCTTATTAGGCCGGAAGTCTATTGCCTTTTTTTATTACTCCTGTCTACTTCGGATCCCCCTTCTTTCTGTTGAACTTGCCTCTGGCTTCGATTTTACCTGCGACGGGCAACGCTCTCCAACCTGTGAAAATGTAGCCTTCGGCGCCTCCTTTTGCCGTCATTACGGGGTGAGTCCTGCCAGGCAAGACCTGCCACCGCTTCGCTCGGCTGGTCTGGATGCTGGCGTTGAGAATAAGCGTTGGGTTCAGGGGATATTCGGCATTCCCTTCCCACCGCTCCAGTTCCTCGATGGCTTTCCCCTCGGCCTCCTTGGGAGGCTCGGTGATCCAAGCTGCACGGCGACCGACGCTGAAGCAGTCCACAAGTGAGTTTAATGGCTCGATGCTCGGCGAGTAGATGGCGATCGGGGCACCTGGTGCGAGCAGAGGCAGAGTATGGCGGAGAATGGAGACAGGGTCCATCGGGCTGGCCACGGCCAGGCCAGAGAAGCTCCCCGCACGTGTAGAGTCGACGATGTGTCGTGTGCGAGCCCACCTCCGACGCTTGCGATGATGGTTGCCTCTCCGGTTGGTCTTCCACGACGCCAAAACCTCCGGCGCAACCTCCTCTGGAGGATTCGCTAGCGTAATGTCCTCCTCGGGGTTAAGAAGCTGGAGCCATGACAGATACATCATGTTTGAAAATAAGGGATGATACGGGGGGTGAGGGTCAGGATCGGAGCTGTCAAAGTTGAAGTAGCGGAGAAGGAAGAGATTGGGTTGTGTGTTGTGGTGTAGAATAGTGAGTGTGTTGCGTTTGGCGAATGGTAATTCCAGGTCATCTGGTCTTCGTCGCTTGGCAGGTCGAGCCTCTGTTCTCGTCTCTTCGCTGCCCGCGTCGGCCTGAGCCTCGGGCTGTTCCTCCTGTAGTTGCTCAGCACCGTCGGGGTTTTCATGCAGTATTCCCATCCGTTCGGCAAGGGAAGCTGTCAACAAACCGCCCGTGTCGTCAACAACAAGCCACCGGCCCCCAGACTCGTCTCCAGCGTCATCCAAGTGCGGCGCAACATAATGAACATCTGCCCAGCACCCAACCAGAGCCATAGACTCGTTGCGCATCTCCATAATCTTGGAGGCGTCCTTGTCTTCCAGCATCCATTTCGCGAGCAGAGGTACGTCGAGCGGTAGGACTGTGAATCGGCGGATGTACTTCTTCGTCTTTAGTAGCTTGTACTTGGCTAAAGAATAGGCCGTTTTCTCCTCGATGGCCGTATGAGAGAGGAGAAGCTTGGCAATCAATTCCTTGCCTGCAGCTGTGCCCTTTTTCTTAAGCTCCTCGATCTCTTGTATCGTCAACGTCTGGCGTGCCGACTCGTCGATGGCCTCTCCTTTCGATCGGATAACAACCTGGCCGCTAGCCTCGTCGACGAGCGTAAGTTCTTCACCGTCGGAAGGTCTGATAATCGTCTCCTCGTCGGCCTCCCCCTCTTCGGCGTCGGCGCTTGTGTCGGCCAATGCATCGGCGTTGAGCTCTGCTGCGGGTACCACGCGCAGGCGTGCAAAGTTTTCGTCTTCGCGCTTGTCTTGGATTTCATACGTTAAATGATACGGGCGATCGATAATTAGATTGCTGGGAAACGAGCCATATTTCCCGAGCGATATCGTACTGTGAACAAAGTCAGCCTTTGGGATAACTAGGGTAGCGCTTGGGGTCTCACATATTAGGGACAATTTCTAGAACCTTGAAATCTTCGCTGGGAAGCTTTAGAGCAACCCAGCAATTGGGTTGTACTCTATCTCTAGACATTGCGATCAGGTTGTCCACCAAGCCTCAATCATTCCACGAGCATAGCGGTGTTGTAAACGCAAAAACCAGGAATCTGGAAGGGAAAAAAGTTGACGTGCAGCTTAGCGTTCCCACACCGAAGCCACGATCCTCGGTGAGACCCACAGTGGGGCATCTGTTGTAAATCTCACCGAGAGCAACATCAGATGAAGACTTTCGGCCTCCAAAAGCGATCTGTCATTAATTTCACAGGGAGAAAATAGTCATCATCTTTTAATTTGAGACTATGCAATTTTCATTCAATCCTCGCCACGCTTTTCTCGAACCTTTCGAGAGCCAAGCGGCTTCACTACTATGCTCTTCGCTGAAGCTAATAGCCCAAATACTGCTGTGATCAAATAGAGCATAATGCTCAGAGTCCCAAACAGAATCAGCGGCGCAATTGTGTAACTAAAAAGGTATACCAGGCCTCCGGATCTTTTGACCACGTCGAACAGTTCTCCCTCTATAATCTCTGCCGCGCCCTCCCACTTCCAGGGGCCGACAAGCCTGAACTTGGTATTGAAGTTGGATCCCATGGCCCAGGTAAAGCAGACCTTGAGGCCCCTCCCCATGATATAAGATACTCTAGGCGCCGCTCCAATATCCAATGCTAGTTGATAGGCGTAGCTTTCGTGATCGACACCGCCTTTGGTCTTTGAGAGATCATATCCCGCCCGTGGCTGGAGTTTCCAGTCCAGCTCATAGCTCTCCAGAGCGTTTGGGTCGACAATTGTTGGCACAGCACTTCTGAATTTATGCTAAAGAAGGCGCAGGATCCATAGTTGAGCTTGCAACTCGGCTAGAGGAGGTATCGCCCCAAGACTTGGGCGCACAAACCCGATGAAGCCAACAGTTACATCATGGCTACTATAAATCCTTCGTACATCAGCCTCCCCAAGCCCCGGGTATTCAGCATTTAGAAATGGGAAGCTCGTTCGGTAACCCGTTGCTAGGACGATCACGTCTGGGACTATGCGCTTCGTGTTGCCATCGTCGTCCATGACAACCATAGCCCCATGATCATCAAACTTTTCGGGCCAGGTCAATACATCTATCCTTCTTCCTTTGGTATCCTTTTTCGGCACATTGATCATGAAGGTTCTTTTCCTGTTCCACCAAGATTCCGATCGATGCCCATCCGATATGTAAGGCAGAGCCCGGTCAGACTTACACATGAAAATGGAGTCGACATACTTTCTCTCACTGCTCATATGCCCAACCCACTGATCAGGGCCCTCCTCGGTTCCAGATATTAACATGTGCATTCCTTTAACCCATCTGTCATACACAAGCCATAGCAAGGGACTGCGCTGAAGAGTTGGATGTGTGTACGCGGTGTCAAACAAGCTGGCGACCGAGCAATCTGAAGGTTTGTTGGGCCGGGTCTGGACCACCTTCTCCCCTCTGATTTGCGGCACAGGAATCACCTTTGGGGCACAGAAGAAGCCGCCTCTGTGACAGATGGAGACGGAACGTGTGGGGGCTGTGATGGCAAGGTAGCCGATGTCCATGGCGGTCTCGCCCGCCCCTAGTATCACCACGTTCGAGTTGTGGCCGAACTGCCCCCGAACCTTGACTTCGGAAGAATGTAAGACCACCGGAACATTCTCCATCCCTTCCATGTGAAACTTGTTTGGCGTCACATTAAGCCCGGAGCATATTGCAACGGCATCACATTGCCATTCTTCCGGCTTTCCACCCTTCCGTACGAAGCAAACACTGTGTCCCTGGCCTAGGCGTCTTACGTGCTCTACCCTCGTAGAGCATTCGATGCTATTCCACAAACCGAAGTGGCTCGCATATTCATTCAAGTACTGCACATATTGCTCCGGTGTGACGAAGTCAGGGGCGGTTGGGGAGAATCGATAGTCTGAGAACGCTGTGAGATACTTGGAAGATACAAGCTCGGCGTCTTCGTAGATCCTCCAGACGAACGTTCCACCAATCTTCTCTTCCGATTCAAACAGCCGGGCATCGATCGGTGGTATATCAAAGTACTTGTGGGCTTCCAGCAGAAACTTGAGAGTAACCAGGCCCGATGGGCCTCCGCCGATGACCGCAACCTTCATCGAGACGGTAAGCGAGTGCTCCAAACTTTCTGCAGTGCGCAAGTCAATTGAGTGACAAGGACGGAAGCAATCTGTAATTTTTTGGGGGGAATCGAGGGCCAGCCACGGAATTTTAGGATACCATTGTTCAGAACACATAGAGTAAGCCTCAAACTCACGATTGATCGCCACTTCCTTTGTATTACACTTGATGTCATTCTGACCGGCCAACATTGCCGAACTGGCAAAATATTGTTTCCTAATCAAGCCGTGGCTGGATGAGAAAAGGGTTGATTGGTCTTCCGAATACCACGAGATCGACCAGGGGCCACCCCAAGGGACTAAGGTGAAGCAATGTAACCCAATCAGAGTCAGCATGTCCTAAATCGAACTCCCATCTGCTGTCTGCTTACATGGCACATGCAGAGTCGAGGCCAATCCTCAGCTCTGGGCCCCTGATCAGAAAAGCCATCTCGGTTAAGAACACACAACCATTCGCGCACACATGATTTCCAAGTGGGCCCCTTTGAGAGTGTCAAAGTACCAAGGCGAATGCTTGGAGGGTCTTGTACAGCCCAAAGGCAGGATGATGTTGAATCCTGGATCATACGAGACATGTCTCTCGCCAGGTCTTGATGCCGCTAGGAAAATAATAGACTGGAATCTTTCTGAAACAAGGTTTGAAGCCGGTCACTACATGAACCTGCGGACAGCAATGGAAGCCAGCAAGACTTGTGATGCAGCCCGGAACTTTAGGTGTTCCGCGCTCCCAGCCGTCTCAGATAATGACAAAGCCTTGATGTCTGTGTCAGGATTATTCGGGCGGTCTTATTGGGAATATTCAGCAACAGCAATCATGCCACCTTTGTCAATGTTGAAGCCTCTCTGAGCGATTTATTCAAAGCAGAACTCGGACAAGGAAAGACTATCCATTCCTTGATAATCTCTCTGTTCTCCTTTGACCATTCTAATGTACGCTTCTATACCATTTAGCTCTAGCGCAAGGCGGTGCCTTACCGGGAGTGTGAGACACGCAAGCTCTTGGGATAAACCCCCCTTTAAACTCGCACCTCGCATAGGATAGACAGCCTCGAAACCTTGGAAGCTCATCTAGAACGGCGAAACTTGCAAGGTTGATCAAACGACCTTTTCCAAACGGGGCTCGTTCAGTAATGCAGAATCACCAACTCCAAGACGTTGCTTCTCATCGTTCTTTTAGGAAATTTCACGGTTACTTGTCGTCTTCCCCTGCTAGCTAGGTAGTAATTCTATCATTGTATCTTCATCCCGTCTTAATGTTTTCTATAAGTAGTCACTATTGAATATATATGCTAATATGGTGAACCGATTCATATTCTTTCTTTGTCTTCACAGTTCCTGCCGTTGGAACCTCTTTTTCGCTATAGAGTCAGCAGCACTCAACCAAGTTCCCAGGATCTCTCATCATGTAATTGAGTTTGTCTGGACTTCTGCTTCAAGGACCCACGATGATCACCAACTAACACCTTCGGCGGATCCTCATCCAAACCTTGCGATCGGGAGCGCTCCTCTCGATGCAAGTAAAACTCAACTTTCGATCCCAACCCCTTCATTTTGGGCTCAGTGACAATGAAGCCGAGACTTGATCTTGAAGACTTCGAGAATGGGAGGAGAATAGCCATTCTCAAGAAGTACAAGAAGGGCCAGGAGTCGACCTCAGTTTTCGAAAAATCATCAAACACCAAACCCATCCACTCCTGTCTATTGTTAGGAATAATCATTACAGACAAAGAGACATTGCGAAGATGCGTGCCAGTATCATCGCGGCCACCCTTGTGGGTGCTCTCGGGGTGACAGCCTACGACAAGGCCCTCGAGAATGCCCTTTCCCACCTCCGCCGCAGCGGATGCGGCGAGCTTGACGGCTGTGGAAAGAATTCGAAGGGCTCCTATATCCCCGATGGGAAGACGTTCATCTTCCCTGATAAGGGCTACGAGCATGGCAACCGATGGGAGCTCATCAACAAGCATCCCCATCATGGCCACCACCACGGCCATCATGGTCATCACGGCCATCACCACGGCCATCACCACGGTCATCACCACGGTCACCACGGTCACCACGGTCATGTCGGCCATCACGGTCATCACGGCCACCACGGCCACCACGGCCACCATCATGACCTCCACAGCTATGTCAACTTCGACTTCCGCGAGGAGTCCCTCATCTTCGAATTCGATAGGATTGAGGACTATGGTCACGTCAAGACCAAGGAGAGGCTTCGCTACGAGCAGATTGAGATCAGGGTTGCCGTCGACAAGGCTCACTTTGACAATGCCCGCCGCTACAGCCTCAAGGACGGACACTGCAAGGAGCACGATGGCCGTTACCGCTGCCGCCTCCCTTACAATGAGCTAGTCCACGGTGGCCACCACGGCCTGTGCCCCCACAAGGATAAGTACGGCAAGGAGCTGTTTGTCAAGATCGAGACTGTCGTCGTTGCTGGAGAGGAGCGTTACGAGCTCTGCAACCGTGGTGGGCAGGAGAGGGAATACTTCCGTCTCCGCTATGCTTGTACCGAGTGCAAGTTTCAGGAGTATGAGAAGGAGTGCCATCGTAAGCCTCACCATCATCATCACGGTCATCATCACGGTCATCACCACGGTCATCACCACCACCACCCAGAGAAGTACCACCACGGCCATCACGACAAGCACCACAAGTGTTGCCACGATCATAAGCATCATGATCACAAGCACCATGATCACAAGCACCACAAGTGTTGCCATGACCACAAGCACCATGATCATAAGCACCATGGCCACAAGTGTTGCCACGACCACAAGCACCACGACCACCACAAGCACCATGACTGCCACAAGCACCATGATCATCACAAGCACCATGATCACCACAAGCACCATGAAAACGCCAAGTACCTCGACTACAAGTACCATGACCACAAGCATTACGATCACAAGCACCACGACCACCACAAGCACCACGACCACAAGCACCACCATGGCTGCGGCTGCAACAACAAGCATCACTACCACCACCCCCACGGTCCCCGTGATGTCGAAACCCGTGATGTCGAAACCCGCGATGTCGAGATCCGCGACGTCGACAACGCCAAGACCACCGACCTCGAGACCCGCGACCTCGCCTACGAGTGCACCGGCACCTTCCTCGAGGCCTACGGCACCGGCAAGCACGCCCACCCTCTCAAGGAGATCGGCTGCGGCCACCCGGGCTACTACCACCGCTACCCCAAGAAGGAGCTCGAGGTCTCCGTCCACGGGCCCGTCGAGCTCAACGGCCACACCCTCGGCCACTTCTCCGTTCGCCTCGACAAGCGCCGCGAGGACGTCGTCCTCGCCATCGACGTCAAGGTCCACGACCCCGAGTACCTCGTCACCGAGATCGCCGCCATCATCGTCTGCGAGGACGGCCTCAAGCAGAAGGACCGGGACATCTGCAGGCCCTCTTCTTACCCGTACCGCCGCCACGACAAGCACGGCCTCAACCACTTCCACTTCGACGTCGTCGACGAGTTCCAGTGCAAGGGCGACTACTTCATCGCCGTCTACGTCCTCGTCTGCGTCGCCGAGGACAAGTGCGAGTACAAGAGGGTCGGCCAGGGCTACGATTACTAGACTGGCACGGTTCTGCATCATCTCTCTCTGCCTGCACGACAAGTTTTCCAATCTGGTAGGGAGAGGAATGTTGCTCTAACCACAAAAAAGTGGAGGACAGGATTTAAAGGGGGGATTGGCGAGGAGACAGGAAATTTCAACAATGAATAGTGCATAAAAATTAAGTTGACATATAACGTATACGGCTAGTTAGTTGCTATTTTAGCTCGATACTTCCGTCAGACAATAGAAAAGTTTATCTTGTCTTTTCAAAAATCTAGACTCGGTCCGCCTTGAGCTAAGTCGTTTAAGATCCAGGCTTCTTGATGTTTTGAGAGATGAAACTGGGCCAAGACTGGTATTGGTTTCTATCATGTTAGAAAGCTGTGTCAGACAGCCAGCCCAGAATCTAAGATGACATCAATAGATGCATATCAGCCGACTATGCTGAACGAATTCGCGATCCATTAAGATCACGTCAAAATTATGTCACTGGTATATCTTGAGAGCAAATTCATCGTCATAAGGGGTATGCATTTCTATCAAGTATCGTAAGGCTTCGTATCCACCACCATGCTCGCTCTAGTAACATGAGAGTATAAGATAAAGTTTCGGCGTGCCCAGACGCCAGTGCCCAATTTGTATCATCCTTGCACGCGAGAAAAATCAATAACGCCAAAAGTAATGGAAACACCGAGAAGCCCAGTTCGAGGGGTCGATCAAGACCAATTGGGGGCATAGGTGATGAAACCCATGAGGCAACCTGCGATGAGGCCAGAGGTGGGTACGGTGATGAACCAACCAAGGTAGACCCAGGCAACCATGCGCCAGTTAATAGCTCGCCAGTCGCCATTGCACAGGCCGACTCCAACGATGGCTCCGGTGATGCACTGTGTGGTGGAAACGGGAAGTTCTGTGTATTGGTTAGCAGCGTGTTGATAGTTGAATGAGAAGTGATTAAACACATACCGAGACGGGTGGCAATAACAATCGTAATGACGGTTCCCAACTCCATCGAGAATCCACGGGCGGGAGACATGAGGGTCATGCGGTTACCAAGATTGGACATGATACGGTAGCCGTAGGTCCAGACACCAACGACGATACCGGCACCACCGAAAGCCAGAATCCAGACGGGCACGTTAGACTTGGCGCCAGGAATCTTGCCGGTCTCCCATATCTGGTAGATGGACGCATAAGGCCCAACCGCGTTAGCCACATCGTTGGCACCGTGGACGAAAGAGGCGGCAGAGGCAGTCAAGACTTGGAGGAAGGTGTAGAGGAACTCGGTGCGGTTGTCGAAGTGGGTAGCACGGGCATGGATCTCCTCCATGTCGCGGCTGAGCACGGTGTCGGCCTTCTGGGTAGCGACAATATCGACATCAACACCGCGGAAAAGGGCGAATTTGATGGCCCACCAGATGAATTCCCTCTTATACCATGCCACCTCGGGCTTGGGTCCAACGAGGCTCTTCTTCGGGGTGGTGGTGTTCTCTGCAGCGTCAACAGAATCGCTCACGACGCCATCGACGGTCTTCTCTTCGTGCTGCCCCTCAACGTCACCCTCTTCGGAGTGTTCGGCCGCATGACGAGCACGCCGGGCATCCAGCTCCTCCCGAGTCAGATGGCCATCGTAGAAGTTACGCACGGCTCCAGTAAAACCGGCAGGTGGGGGTGGGACTTCCCCGCGGCGGAGCAGGAGAGGACCCTGGAAGACGTGCCAAGCGCGAAGCTGCCAGTCCTCCTTGATGACGACTCTGTAGATCCAGGGAACGAGGAAGACGGCGACGAGGATAGCGACACCAGCACCGGTGGCAACAATAACACCAGGCATTTGGGCCTCAGTGAGGTTCACGGTGTAACCGCCGCCCTTCCAGAGGAGAAGCATGACAATGAGCGAGGAGGTGACCCAGAAGTAGAAGGGAATGAGAACGAGACCCTTCATGGTGGGGTTCTTCCGCAGCAAGACACCGTACTTGGTGAAGAGGAAGATGAGGGAAGCAAATGTACCAGACAGGACAGGTGCGATGATCCAAGCAAGGAAGACCTGAACAACACCAGACTGGATGTTCACGGAGCCATCCGCCTTGTATCCGACCCAAATGACAGCATTGCCACCGAGGGCACCAACGCCCATACCGAGAACACCACCCAGGATGGAGTGGGTGGTAGACACGGGCATACCAACCTTTGTAGCGAAGGTAAGGTAGAGAGAAGAGGCAATAATCGCACAGGTCATGCCCAGCATGAGAAGGGCCGGTGAATCTTCAAAGCGTTGGACGTCGACAACCTTGGTTCGGATGGTATCAGCGACACGGCCACCAACACCGACAGCGCCAGCGAACTCTAGAACAGAGGCGCCGCACATGGCCTGGAGGTAGGTGATGGAGCGCGAGGAGACGGACGAGGCCCATGAGTTAGCGACATCGTTGGCACCGATGTTCCAGGCGTCGAGGAAGGCGAAGATTGTGCCGACTGCCATAAGGTAGTCGAATTGGTGGAGAGCCATCGTGAGCAGCTAGTTGCACTCTTGGTGCAGGTGCCGAAGGGAGAAGTTGATGATTGATAAGTTATATGATGCCTGGGCGGTAGTATGTACAGCAGAGGTCTTCTACTGCCAAACGGCGAGCAAAAAGTAGCACACAAGGTGATACTTTATGTCTGCACTGGCCGCAGAGGGGAGAAAGAGGGGGAGAAAGTGAGTGGCTTGCTGAAGCAAAGTAAAAAGAGAAGAAGGTTTGGGGGCTTGTGCCCGATATTTATATAGGACGGCGAGTAGAGCAAAGGAAGAATGGAGAGCAGACTGGGACCGGTGGCCAGCACAGGCATCTCAACCGTCGACGGGAGGGCGTGTGAGGAGCAAAGACTCGAAGTGGATTGGATGGGGGCATCGAAAACAACTCATCTTGCCTTTTCCTGATGTGATGTGGCCGTCGAAGTCTCGGGATTGGCCCCAGTGCATGGACCGGGAGGCTCCAGAGTCGCCTCGGGGTGGGAACCTGGCTGACTGCGTAAGGTAAGGTAAGGTATTGAATTGCTACCCACGAAGTGAAGAGGGGGAAAAGTGGCCTTGATAGACGGCATCAATCTGTGTACGTACATCCCTACCCAGGGTGGAAGTCACTTGGGGCCTGCTCTGCCAAGGTTCTTGCCGTGTAGAAAAATCGAATCTTTGATGCCTCGGTGCTTCTGGCCGGTGGAGCACGTCGACGCTATCTTGCGAATCCTCGTCTGAGCCTCTCGTCTATGCGCTCTGCTACGTCCAATTATGGCCAGATAGCCAGAAAAAGCGGTATTCCGTAGAGAATCAAATCACTAGATGCGCATTGAGCTGGGAAAAGAGCATCTTGTCTCGGGTTTTGCCTGCTACGGGCCATAGGGAGACACTCAAAAACATGGAAAAAGACGGTCGACCGAGGGCAGACGGCTGTCATTGGCGCCGGCCCGAATGAGAAAGTGAGCGCGTGAGCAATCGCCCTTTTGGGAGCTGATCCCTCTGCCATCTGCAAGCAAGTGCAACAGCCGCAGGAAGCCTGTCGCCTAGCCGAGCCAGGTAAGCCCAGCCCAGCCCAGCCCGGCGAGGGAGGAGGCGGGATTGATGGCGATGGTGACCGGCAGGGTTGTCACTCGAGGCTGCCTCAGTGCACTATCTCGACTATTTACAGGGGTCTCAGGGAGGTGGGGTGGCTGCAGGAGCGAAACATCTCCACTACATCGCACGACAGGACTGCTTCACTTACGGAAGTATTAGCATACGAGCCTCGTCGATAAAATCTCTAATTAAGTAGTTCGAGACCGTCGTCAATGGGTCAGAATGAGTGAGAGTTTCCTGTCCGACAATCGATGCTGTTGGGACGAAAAGGTCGAAGGTGAAGTGGATAGGCACATGCCCCATCCAGTATGTACCTCTCGGCGAACACACAACAAGTTTATTTTCAACTCTAAATTTCTAAATTCTAGTTAAAATTCTTGCATTGACTAAGACGTCTCTGTAATATGGATACCATCACCACATTCACCCGCCAGCCACGAAGCAGGGATTTTCGTTGCGGAACTCGTAACAGTAGCGTGCGGTATTTGTATCATCACTATCACACACTGGCATCTTGACTCCTCATGCCGGTGACGTTAACAGCGATGGTACGACTCAGCGAGAGCAAAGAGCAAAAAAACAGAGCGGAAATGCTACAGTGTGGAGAGGAATCATCAGTGGGGGGGTGGAGGATGGGGGTTGATCTTCTTGAGATCTCAGCCAGTAACAGATCTAAATCCAGCACGTGTGCCAGTCATTGGTGGTTCTGCCTCTCTTTTCTCCCCCTGTGTGCGGGTCAACTCATTGTGCATAAAGCCCCTGTTGATCCCCACCTCACTACCAGCCCCAGACATGCAAGATCTGTCCAATTAGACTTTGTACATTGAGCACGTTGATGAATCTTGCTATTTGGCACGTATGAGCCAGGACATGCCTTGACGCAGAGCACCTATGAAGCTGCACACACCCCTCTGTCGGCCAGCACCTGAGTTGATGGACATCGGGAGTGCCTAGGTGGGTAAGACTACGAAGCTCCATGACAGCTCTTTAGACAATCTCCAAACTCCAGATGTCTCGAGCTGTTGGAGCTTCAAATGGGAAGAAAGAGAGCCATGATTATCAAATCTTGTGTTGCTGGTGGAGATCTAAATTGTTCACATGCATCATCACGCATTATCACGTACACAAACACCCTGTATCACAAACACCTTGTATCAAGAGCCATCGTCCCCATGGCGAGTGGTTGACTGACATGCAGAAGCAGAGACGCGTCCTTGTCCATGGTCACAGCGCATCTCAGCCCTCAACATGGGGGGGAGGTGTGTGAAAGGCAGGGATGACGAAAGTCGTAAGAGCTCACGAGACTGGTTTCTCGACCCGGAAACTGTGACTGGGCTTCTTCCCCAGGAGTCAATTTCCCGCTCGGTACTCATTCCGAAACTTTCTTGGCTCTTGCCTAGGCCAGCAGTGATGAAATAGCTCAGATTCATATTCATAATGCCTGGGATTCATCATCGGTCAACCTGAAGGTCTGCTTCGGCGTCGTGAAGCCCGAAAACTGAACCACCCCTCCACCAGTACGAAAAACATGATGGGATTAGGTCAACATATCCTCAAGTGCTTTGTTATCTTAGCAAATACATCATTAAATACTACAATGGTATTGTTCTCAAGAAGTGGCCCCTTCCTCAAGGCCTCAAGACCTCAACCCCTGTCTCGCATTATCAAGCCACAAAATCAAACTCTCTAACGCCAGGTTCGTCCCGCTGATGGATCATCGCCATCCATGCGCCCCGGCGGGAGGCACGGCCCCGGTTCGCTTTGCCTAATAAGCAATCATGCTTATACGGAAGCTTCTCCTAGGCACGTGGGCCGTTGTATTGGCTCAGAGGCTCTCGACCGTGAGAGCTTACAGCCTTAGAAGGCCCGTGGAAGACTTCTAGAAAAGGCTTCTCGAAAATGACATGTTCTGTGTGGACCAAAAAGTATCATGACCTTTTTCCTTTACGTACTCTTGATAAAAATGTGACGATTTCGGTACGCAGTTTCTGATTGCAACACTTGAACAGGACCTTATTGAACCTCGTCTCATTCTGCCCACGTATCCGTGAGGCAGGTGATCTGGGGCTATCAGCTCACTTTCAAAGTGTGAGCTCTGTTATGCTACTTTTCGTGTTATCCAATCACAGCAGTCAAAATCTGCATCCCCTGTTGCCGACTTGGAGTTGATGACAACCCAAATCCCGAGCGTGAGAAGGGGGAACTCCTCTCTTATTAAAGCGTCATACCAAAAGCCCTCTTATTTTCTCATTTCATATCATGACTAGAGCTAGACAGGCTAAAACGTCGTCCAGTCAAGCGGATAAATCTTTTTCATGGTACAGAGGAAGAGGCTCGGCTCTGATGAGCAAACTAACTATTCTCCGCTTGGCAAAACTCCGTTCAGCTTGAACACTCCGGTTTTTTTTTCAAGGATATGTCAGGAAGAGCGCTTGCTTAGATGCTTTCTATGTGTCTAATATTTCGCTCTGCACGGTACTGGTTCGAGATTGCAAGTCAAAGTGCTGACGAATGCCCTGGGGAGCAACCCGCTGCATTCCCCAGCGTCGGATGCGCACCCGTCATGCATAAGACATCGAGTCCCGAGCCCACAGCTGACACTGTACAGTAACTGACAAATGACCATCAATGTTTTGCAGAGTTACACCCACAATGTATGCAAGTTAGGTTATGGACATGATGCACGAGGAAAGAATACACAGCGCCTTGAGATTTCTACAACACTACCTACAGTCATATGACGCATCAGATGCTCTATCTATCACGTCAAATTGATTTCAAACATGCTCATCAGTAAGCGCGGAACTCGCCACAGGAGCAATTTCCCTGATCTATTAAAACCTCTCTGTTCTCCTCTGCTAGCATCACGGCGCTTCAGTTAAAAATCAGTTTATCACGAAGAGCGAATTTGACAGCAATCCTACATACCTATCCTACGTAAACTTTCCTTAAAATGAAATAAGGTAATCGTCCGACCATGTTTTCCGAAAAACATCAACTCAGTTCAGACTTGCGCGCAGGGCAGATATGAAGTATGAAGAATCTCCCCATACTTATAGATCTAGATGAGATTTGAGTTGCGCCGAATGCATCCTCGGGCTCCTATGACGATTCTTACCTTCAAAACACTCAAGATTCCTAGACCTCGCATGAGACTTCAAAGAGAGGCCGACGTCCCAGACGGTTCCTCAGCTCCTTCCAATCTTGAAGCCAAAGCCCGAGATGATGAGTCATCTCTTTCTAAGTCAATGGAAGTCCGATAGGAGTTCCTTCCTTGGCGTAACTGAGATCGAAGCCAAGGCTTCAGAGACGTCAGCGCCTTCCGATATCAACAGGCCGTACCTTCCCTAACTGCGACGAAGCCGCAGGCATGCCACGGAAACCGAAAGGTAAGAGTGTTCAAGAACCCAGACACTGGCATTAGTTAAACTCGACCCTCACCTCAACTTCCCAGTCTTCTACTTGTTCTCTTTTCTTCCTCGTCCACCTCTGCGTTGAAGTTATCTCTCCTCTCTCCACCAGCTACCCTTCCAACGTCTAGTAAGCCACCCTAGCACCCACTACCTTATCATGAAGATGCATTCTAACACACCATTTGAAAGCCTGTCCGATTATCCACGCCAATCCAAAGGCCTTCAATTCTCCCACCGAAGTGAGTTCCCTGTCACAGAATTCTTAATCACCCTGAGATACTAATTACAAGAGATTAGAAAATGACAAACGGTCAGGACAGGCAGGACATGTTCCATAGCATAAAGGTTTTTGTTCGCCTGTACAAGGAACGTCGTCGTGGAAGACTACGATGCTTCAACGTAAGTAACATGCACGTTGGTCTTGACAGTACATTGCTAATCAGATATGTATTGAAGTGCAACAAGCGAGGGCATAAAAAGGCCCAGTGCCCCATGCCGAAAAATAACACTGGCCAGCTGGCGCTATCTACAACCCCCCTGCATTCAACGCCGAAGGCTGAACTCGATGATACCAAAGCCGAACTTGTCGTGGTCAAAGCTGAACCAACAACATAATGACACGTCGTCTACCCGTCAAACCGAACGAGGAAAATCAGTAGCCGGGGTTATGCATCTGTTTTTATTATGAACAGAAGAAAGATGAGTGTGGATTTTGTTGTTTGCATGTTTAGTCAATCCATGTGAAGAAATGGTCGGGTGTATAGGGTAGGGTCGTTGGCTGAAGATCGAACGGTTTTCGTGTCATGGAATTGTCCCTCTTCCATCGAGGCTAATCTTGGTAGAGTTCTTATAATTTACCTCTCACCAATGTACCTAACGTTAGGTGGTTAATGAACACATTTAGAGTGACAGGAGATTCAGTTTCGTCCAACATGTCCTGAACCGAGTGCGACAAGTGGAAGCCTCACAATTTGGCCCGTTTGTTGTCTCATGGACACTACCATTTGTTGGTTCGAGATGAATGGCGCGAAAGGCTATAATTTATTGGTTCGGTCAATTGCCTCTGTTGGGCTGCCTCTTCTTGAAAGACCGAGGATCCCCCTCATCACAACACCTGTTACTCCAAGGGTCAGGCAGGATCCGGCCCGATTGAGCCGCCATGTCGTACTCGAAGGCAGCCAAGCTCCCAACAATGTATCAGATCAGCGACACCCGACGCTTGATTCAGGGATTGGATTGCGCATGACTGTGAGACCAAGGGATGGGAAAATTAAGCAACCGATCCCATCTTCATGTCCAGTGCCATCCAGCAGATGAGGTGGGAATGGACCCGAGAAACTGGGACAACCAGGGTTCTGCTTGCTCTCAGTCCCCTCCCTTCGGCTGGAGCGAAGGGCTAAATAGAAAACACCCGTCGGGGCCTCATCTCTAATACCCGACGCAGCCTGATGAACAAGCGGTGATGGTTGCCCTCTTCGGGTTATCTTTGCCTCGACAGGAAGCGGTTGGTGATGGTCAAGCCAATCAACCGTCACAAAACTCCACTTTAGCCGTCACCTTTCGCAAAATCCCCATGGGGTGAATAGGCCAGAACCCACATTTACTCCGTCTCCCCCGCGCGGTGTAAGGTCACCGGCCTCCTCCAAGAGGATCCTCAGACGGGGCCAGCCAGGGCCGGGATCATATGATGATGGGTTCGCATCCGTCTAACAGGCGAGGTGCCAGTCATGCTTGACTAGACCTCCCTCGTCTCAACATCCATGACCCCACTTCAAGGAGGAGGAGTGTTACCATGTGTCGGCTCTGGTCGGGCATATAACTCGAGCGATCGCCCGGGAGTTTGAGTTGGGGTTCCTTCTCCAACAGCGAACCCCTCCAATACCTCCCACCGCTCTCCTGACATTGTATCCCGACACGCCTCCGACGTTCGCCATGGGCTTCAAGGAGTATCTCAAGTCTCGGTCGCTGAAAGCACCAAGGGGCAGCGTTACCAAGGCTGCTGAATTGACCGTCCGGGAATCCATATGGCCCATTTCCCTTGTCACGGTTCTGTTTTTCCTCTGGGGCTTCAGTTACGGTCTCCTTGACACGCTGAACAAGCACTTTCAGAACACACTGAACATCACACAAGCTCGTTCTGCAGGTCTCCAAGCCGCCTACTTTGGGTGAGTGTAAACTCTCGTCTCTCCAGTGATATCGAGTGAATATATTGACAGAGGAAAAGCGCATACCCTCTGGCATCAATTGGCCATGCCGCTTGGATTCTTCGACACTATGGTTACCGTGCCGTCTTTATCTGGGGATTGGTCTTGTACGCTATTGGAGCTTTGATTTCGATCCCTTGTATCAAAGCCAAGTCTTTTGGTGGTTTCTGCGCTGCTATTTTCATCATTGGAAATGGGCTGGGATCTCTAGAAACTGCCGCAAATCCCTTCATCACTGGTAAGCAGAACGAATCTTCCTGTCCTCCATACCCAACATGCGATCTTAACATGTCTCACTAGTCTGCGGTCCTCCAAAGTACTCCGAGATCCGAATCAATCTATCGCAGGCATTCAATGGAATCGGCACCGTCATCGCCCCTGTCCTCGGCTCATACGTCTTTTTCACCTTTGACGACGAAGCTGCTCTGGCCAACGTACAATGGGTGTACCTTGCTATTGCCGTCTTTGTTCTTATTCTAGCCACACTATTCTTTTTTTCGAACATTCCCGAAATCACGGATGCCGGTAGGAACACCCCCTCCTTGATGTTAAGGAAACGCGTTACTGATGGAACTTAGATATGGCTTTCCAAGCGCAAGAAACCCACACCGACGCGGACGACAAGCCTTTCATCAAGCAGTACAAGCTTTTCCATGCTGCTTTCGCCCAGGCCTGCTACACCGGAGCGCAAGTCGCGATTGCTTCATTCTTCATCAATTATGCCGTGGCGACCAGACCCAACACGCCGAACGATGTCGGGTCTCAGCTGTTCGCAGGAGCACAAGCTGCTTTCGCTGTCGGCCGCTTTGTAGGCGTCTTTGTCATGAAATACGTGCGCCCTCGTCTGATCTTCTTGGGATTTCTGACGGGCTGCATCATCTTCCTCATCCCTGCCATCGCGATACCTTCCTCTGGCCTCCAAGGAAACGCAGGTGTGGTTATGCTGTACCTTGTTTTGTTCTTCGAGTCTATTTGTTTCCCAACCATTGTGGCGCTCGGCATGCGTGGTCTTGGCCGGCACACGAAGAGAGGGAGTGGCTACATTGTTGGAGGTGTTGTTGGCGGAGCCTTTGTGCCGCCATTGACTGGTTTGGCCGCCGACAGACACGGGAATGGTATTGGAATGGTCGTGCCGCTTTTCTTCTTGGTAGCAGCTTGGAGCTACTCGTATGCTGTCAATTTCGTGGCCAACTACGTCAAGGTTGTGGATGCTCTCGGTGACGCCGATATTGGCCTGCAGCACGGAGAAGTTGATGAGAACGGTTCCAAGTCCAGGGCGTCGGTGGAGGAGAAAGCAGCCGTCGGACACGTACAGTAGACAAGAAGGATGGGGGCATTGTATCCGGAATGAGCGTTGTATGGCTCTGCATTAATTTAGGTTCTTCGCCGTAAATAGCCACGAAGATCTATAGGAAACACAATAGACGTTGTTCTCATTCACAAGACCACCTACTCTGGCACCGGGTATGACCACTCTTCAATGCAAACTTTTACCTATCCATGTCTATATCCTGTGCAATTAGTTCTTGGATGTATTTGCGCAGACAAGAAACCAGATTGATTAGACAAGAGTTGCAGCTTTGTTCTGGGCGAAACTTTCTCTCCTTATGTCTGTTGACAAAGAAGAGTTGTCTGCACTTTCATCTGATGTCAAAGTTTGCGTGTTTACGATCACAACAAGCGAAAGGCTTCCTAGAAAACAAAGGAGATCTGTTGGCGGCCATGATGGAAGGGAACCAGCAAGACCTGTATATAAGTGCGCAACGCTCTTCACCGATTTCAAGCTTGGCTCAGCGAAATACACACAACGCAGCTTTAAACCTCCAATCCCCGCTCAATCAATCAATCAACAGACGTCCGTAAAGAGACAACTAAGAATTAAACATGGGTTTCATCTCAGGAACCCCCGGCGCGCAGCAGGAGACCAGCCAGTTGCGGCGCTCCAGCAAGGACTTGACGGCGGCTCACACATGGACTGCAAGGCCAGCCGTCCAAGGCAATGCGGGAACGTCCGGCTTTAGGGTCTATACCTTGGAGGATCTGGAGGCCGCGGCTACACTCGTGTCTCTTTCTACGAGCCAGCCTCTTCCCACGAGTCAACCTTCCGCTGAGGATATGGAGGCGGCTGCTATCTTGATGGCCATGTCACGGTCACGGGGTTGAGACGGGGTCTGTTCACAAGTTGGATATAGAGTGCCCAGGAAGAGGCATGTTTAATATTGGATGAACTGTTGGTGATAAAACATATATTCGTCTTTTGCTTTTCTCTTTGCGCAAGCTTCTATTAACAGTAGCTGGTATCAGTTCAATCGTTAAAAAAAAATGAAACGTAGCAGGCGAAAGCAGACGCTTGATTGCCTCTATGCGCGTTATGTTCCGTTTCTCCTCTTGCCACCATGCGTGCTCCTATCAATGTGGCCCCTCAGCACCTTTCTCGTCTCGACCAGACTCCTCTTCTGCTTGCTCTTGGCTTTGCCCAGAGTCATCAAGAAGTTCTTCTTTCGTGCCTTCTCGCGGTTGCTGGTACTCTTGCCGGCCGCATCCTTCTTGGACCTGTTGATTGCCCGGGTGCTCTTGTGCTCCTCGCGCTCAGGCTTGCCCTCCTTGGCCAGGGCAACCTTCTCCTCCTTGGTCAGCTTGCGGAGCCTGGCCGGGGCCTCGATGTTCTCGGCTGTCACCCCGTCGTCGAGATGGCGAGAGGAAGGGTTATTGTTGGGTTGACCCTTGCGGACCTTTCCGCCCAGGGCTCTCTCGAGAGCTGCCTCCGTGCGGAGCTCCTGGAGTTTCGCCAGATCCGCCGGTGTCAGGATGGTAGTTGTGGCGAGCTTGGCTATGCGCTCGAGCTCAGCGGCCCTGTCTTCCTCATTCTGCTCTTCGTCATCGGAGGATTCCTCTCCGCTCTTGCGCTTCTTGGGGGCCGGGGCTTCATCGTCAGAATGGTCCACGTTGATCCAGTCACCCGAAACGCTGCTGTCGTCCGATTCGACCTCCCAGTCGTCGGAGTTGAAGCCGTCATCCTCATCCTTGTTCTCCTCATCACTTCCTGCCGTTTCCGGTAGGCCCTTTTCAACACGTTTCCTCTTCTTCTCTTCCTCCTTCCACTTGGCAAGGAGTTCCAGGCCCTCGATACCACCCGACTCCTCTTCTCCGAACTTCATGTTCTTCAGTGTGCCGGCCCTGAGACCAATGGTGGCGTCCTTGCCCCGGTCCTTCTTATTCAGGAGTTCGGGGTCAACCTCTCTGAAGAGCGACAAAAGACCCTTGGCAGCCATCATGACACCCTTATCCTTGCTCTTCCGGTACTGGACGAGATCCTGAAGCAGTGTGTCGGTCATGGCAAGTGGCTGTCTGGCGCAAATCTCACGAATCGAGTTCAGACCGGCAGCTGCGACCTCAGCAGCTGAGGCCTCC